GGGAGTGGGTCTGGGCATGTTGTAGCCAAACTGACGAAAACCAAAAATTAAGAGTTAAAAACTTGAGAGCAGTCACAAAGAAATGACACATTACATACAGGGAACACAATATGAACTGTCATGATCTTAACAAGTAATAGAGATTAGAAAACAGTGGAGCAACATCTTTCAAGTACTAAAGGAAAGACCTGTCAACTTTGTATCTGATGAAAGTATCTTTCAAGAATAAAAAGATAAAATAATAAACCTGCTGGCATTTTAGTTATATATTTAGCATACTGATTAAAAATGTGGGCTCTGGGGACAGAATCTTAGGTTTGAATTTCAGCTTGGACACCTCTGGTGATCCTGGATGAATTACATAAATTCTCTAGGGTTCAATTTCCATATGTATTTTACATACTTTAGTGAGATAATATCTAAAGTAGTGAGCAATCATGAGAAACAGATGAGAGAATGCTTTTTAAATACAGAGTACCTGCTTGGCATATGGTAAATTGTTTGAAAATGTTAGTTATTATTTATCTGTATGTACTTTTAGCACATGTTTTGAATTTGCACCTTTATTCAAATGAAAACATTACTAATCTTTAGGATACAGCTGTTTTATAACCATGTTACTGCTATAACACAAACTTTGGTCTGTGTACAGTGCTGATCCATAATGAGATAATCACAGAATTTGAAGGTAAGCTATAAAATTATTGTCTCACAGTTTTGATGAAACAAGGATCCCAGCATGGCTTGTTGGGTGTCTCTGGGTCATGAGGTTGCAGTCAAGTTCTTTCCTGGGGCTGCAGTCTTATCTGAAGACTGAACTGGAAGAGCGTCCGCTTCCAGACTCACTCACATGGACCTTCTGACAGGGCTATGTCACAGAGCAGCTGGCTTCCCCAGAGTGAATATCTAAGTTGAGAACATCCAAGATGGAAGTCACATCCTTTTGTGACCCACTTTTATGTGTGACATCCCATCACTCCTGCTTCTGTTGTATTCTATTTGTGAAAAGTGAGTCACGTAATTACATATTGTATTCATTTATTGTACTTTTTTCTTCATTTTCCTAGCATCTATAAAGTATTTTTAAATAACTATTTTAGTGGTATTAAGAATTGCATATTTCATTTTTAGGTTAAATTTTGTTTCTTAGTATATTTGGTAGTGTAGAAATGGATAAATATTATGCTAGAAGCTACTGTCAACATCTGACCAGTTTTCATAATACTGTATACTATGTGCAGATTTAATAAGAGTCAGAATAAACTTTAATAATTTATTGGCATTAGGCAAGTGGTTTTAGCAAAAATCTGAATTTAGGAATTTTTGCAAGTATGTTTAAGCTATTACGGTTTAAAATTCTGAAATCTGAGAAATTTAAGCTCTTAACTTTAATAATGATGAATACTTTAACCTTTTAAAAATTGTAGTCACACAATGAGAAGCCAGATTTTAAATCCTAAAACTAAGTTGGTCTTATTCTAGCTTCAAGCTTTTGAGTGAAGGAAGTAACGAGCTTTTTGGTTCTAATCTCTGCTGAAATAAATGGATTTTAGCATCTACTTTTTGACTACTAACTCTTTGAGCCCTGGTCGGGAAAAGAAAAACATTTCCAATAACTAGTATATTAGAAATAAAAAAGAAAAAATTCCACAACGAAACCAAGACATGCAATTCATTTCCCTTTTTTAAAATAAAATTATGGTGTCCTCCAGAGGCAGAGATGGATTTTGCTTACCTGTGAAAGTTATATAATACAAGTGCACTTTTTTTTTAAATATTTTATTTATTCATGAGAGACATAGAGAGAGAGAGGCAGAGACACGGGCAGAGGGAGAAGTAGGCCCCTCGCAGGGAGCCTGATGTGGGACTGGATCCCAGGATCCTGGGATCATAACCTGAACTGTTATATGTCTGTAGGATTAGATAGAGTGCAGACTTTTTAACAGCCTTTTGTCCCATTCTTCTTCAGTAGCATAAGTTAAATGAATAAGAAGCTCATGAAGGAAAAAGACAGTCAAAGAAAATATATATGCATAGTTCTCTCAAAGACTTTATGTCGTTGGTGAAAACTTGCATTTCTTTTAGCATATATTCTCATGGTTTGGGATCTATAAAGTTTCGGTTTGTTTGTTTTTTCTGGGTTTGTTTGGGTTTGTTTGTTTTTTCTGTCAGTGATACATATAAATTTAAAATCTTTTTAAATGGTTCATTCTGAAATAATTTTGAATTTTTTGTACATCCTATTATGCAAAGATATTAAGAAGTAAAGTCAAATACAAAGTTGCATCTGTGCTCTCATTGCTATCATTTAAAGTTGTATGCATGTAGTTTGAGTACATGTGTTCATGTATGTGTGTGTAAAATAATTGGAGTGGAACGTAGAAAATAACCTGTCGAAATTTTGGGGTTGTGATTTTTATTTTCTTGAAAATTTAAAAAAGGGCAGCGGGTTAGCGCTGTCTTCATTCAGCCCAGAGCATGATCCTGGAGACCCGGGATCAAGTCCCACGTCGGGCTCCCTACATGGAGCCTGCTTCTCCCTCTGCCTCTCATGATAAATAAATAAAATCTTTAAAAAAATTTTTAAAAGATTTTTATAATAAAATGAAAAAGGAAATTTTTAGTCAGGCATTAATTGGGAAATTGCTTTAAAACTAGGGTAATAGGGACGCCTGGGTGGCTCATGGTTGGGCGTCTGCCTTCCGCCCAGGGCGTGATCCTGAAGACCTAGGATCGAGTCTTGCATTGGGCTTCCTGCCTGGACCCTGCTTCTCTCTCTGCCTCTCTCTCTCTCTCTCTCTGTCTCTCATAAATAAATAAATAAAATCTTAAAAAAAAAATTTTTTTAAACTAGGGTAATATTACTAATTCATAGTATTTGGAGGATCCCTGTGTGGCTCAGAGGTTTGGCGCCTGCCTTTGGCTCAGGGCCTGATCCTGGAGTCCCGCGGTTGAGTCCCACAGTGGGCTCCCTGGATGGAGCCTGGTTCATCCTCTGCCTGTGTCTGTGCCTCTCTCTCTGTCTCTCATGAATAAATAAAATCTTTTAAAAAAAATTCATAGTATTTAAATGTAGATAGTAAAAAGACCATTTAATCACAGCCTGAAATTTAGTTTAATCCATTTAATCTGTTCAAACAAACCTGTTGAATGTTTGAACATTTAGAGGATTAAAAATAATATTTGTTCTTCAGACATGCACAGGTTTTTCTGGAAAGATTTTTGGGTTTGGTTATAATAGTGTATTAGAAATAGGAAGCAAGCTCCACGTAGGAACTTAATGTAGTTCTAGTTTTCTATCCTTGTCTTCTTTCCTCCCTCCCTTCCTCTCCATCTTCTCTCCTTTACTTTATCTTACTATCCTTAGTATTTTTGCATATTTTCTGGTAGATTAATTCCAGATGACTGGTCAATATGCTAATCACTTGTGATATTGTTTACATAGTTTTGTGAGCTTTTTATAGGTAGGAGAAATCCTTACCACTCTAAAACTTCTTCCTTAGAAATGCTGAAAAAATCTAATTTTCCATGCTTACTACCACCAAAAACAAAGGTTGGCCCTATATTTTTTTAAGTGGTAACCTGAATAGTTAGTGGTAGAATCAGACTGGGAAGAACTTGAATATTTTCAGAGAAAATTATACTTTTAAACCAATAAACTAAACCACAAGAACCCAAGTTCTTTCCTTTGCGTTGTTTGTAACTATTTGTGCTTCTCAGTTGAAGTGAAACAGACTATATTTGTAGTATCGAGCTATAAAAATGTTTGACTATTTTTTTTCATAATCATAGGACAAGTAGTTTTTGGGGAACAAAAGAAGCAATATTCATCTGTAAGATCCATGAACTTTGGCTTTTTCTTTAGGATGCTTACAGTGAAACTTTTTTCCATCTACAGTCCATCTTTTTTATTTTTTAAAGATTTTATTTATTTGTTCATGAGAGACAGAGAGAGAGAGGCAGAGACACAAGCAGAGGGAGAAGCAGGCCCCATTCAGGGAGCCTGACATAGGACTCGATCCCGGGTCTCCAGGATCGCGCCCTGGGCTGAAGGCGGCACTAAACCGCTGAGCCACCCAGGCTGCCCTTCTACAGTCTATCTTGAAGCTATTTCACAGCTCTGGAAATTTGGCTTAACTATTTTTTTGTTCAGAAGATTTTATCTATTCATTTGAGAGAGAAAGAGAGCATGAGCCAGGGGAAAAGGCAGCAGGGGAGGAAGAAGCAGACGCCCTGCTGAGCAGGGAGCCAATCGCAGAGCTTGATCCCAGGACTCTGAGATCATGACCCGAGCCCAAGGCGGGCAGTTAACCAGCCGAGCCACCCAGGCACCCCTTGGCTTAACTTTAATGATAACTATTGATTGAGAGTTTATTATAGCCCAGAGAGTTTATTATATCCTAGCCATACTAGGCTCTTATATACTTCTCTCACAAAGCCATTTAAAGTAGTATTAAATCTCAGGTCCCAGAAAAATACAAAGTACAAAATACAAAGTAACAATCTTTTCTGATACTTATATGATCATCTCTGCTGGGAGCTAGCTCTCCCTTTCAATGTATGGATTTCTGAAGAAATTCAGTAAGAACTAATGGGGAGAACAGCATAAACCAGGACTAATGAGAGATTCCAGAAATTTGAAAATAACAGAAATACTAACCAATGAAAACAAAAGACAGGCTCACTACAGGAACCTAGATGATTTACTAGAAGGAACTCATAATAATCAGGTATACTACAACTTCATTCAACAAATTATTTATTGAGCACCTTCTCTGTTGCCAAGCACTGCTTGAGTCATCTGGGATATACATCAGTTAAAGCAAACAAAAAAGAAAGTTCCTTGCCCTCTTGGAGCTTCCATATTCACAGGAGAGATAGACAATAAGCATAATAAGTAAACCTATGTTTATTATTATGTTAGAAAATGATAAGGGCTATGAAAAACATGGGGATGTTGGGAAGATGGGGTGGGAGGTATTAATCAGGCTGCAATTTAAATAGGAAGATCAGGGTAAAGCCTCATTGAGAAGGTAACTTTTGGGGCGCCAGGGTGGCTCAGTGGTTGAGCGTCTGCCCTTCTTAGCTCAGGTTGTGGTCTTGGTAGTTACAGAATCAAATCCTGCATCAGGCTCCCTGCAGGGAGCCTGTTTCTCCCTCTGCCTGGGTCTCTGCCTCTCTGTGTGTCTCCCATGAATAAATGAAATCTTAAAAAGAGAACGTAACATTTAAGCAAAGACTTGAAGGGAAGTTAGTCAAGAGAGTATCAGCTGAAGAACCCTAAAGGAGAGGATTCAAGATTAGAATGTGCTTACCAGATTTGAGGGACAGCAGAGACCAGTGTGGCTGGAGAGTAGTGAGCAAGGGGGAGAATATTAGGTAAAAGGGTAGACAGGTAATAGGTAGTTTGAATTCAGATTCTGTTGGGATTTGGCTTTTATTCTGGAGTAAGAATGGGTGCCGTTGTACAATTTTCAGAAGAGTAATGTGACCTCACTTGTGATTTAGAAGAATCAGTTGGGCTACTGTGTTGATAAATGACTACATGGAGGGCAGAAAGAGACTAAGAGGTGGTTGCATTAATCTAGGCAAGAGATAAGGGTGGTTCATACTAGGGTGGAAGCAATGACAGTAGTGAGAAGTGGTTAAATTCAGGGTACATTTTGAAAGTAGAGTCCACAGGATTTGCTGACATTTTGGTGTGGAGAGTATGAGAAAGAGGGAGCTCAAGAGTGACTACAAGGTTATTTGTATGAGCAATTGGAAGGGAATGGAGTTGCCCTCAATGAGATGAGGCTCAAGATTGCATGCAAATAGAACTGCTTTGAGGGATGGAGGCAGATGACAAGATCGGTTTTGGACATGTTAAATGTAGGATGCCAGACGGGCATTTGGATTGCAGCTATAAACTTGGAAGTCATTAACATGTAGAGGATAGTAAACATCCTCATGAAAGTAGACATAAATGGTCTGGTAATTGGGCATCAACAAGACAGGAAGGTAGCTGAATACTAACTTTACCTATCTAACAACTTTGCCTGGTGCCGACACTACTGATAATAACCCAGTTCTTCTGACCCAATTAGGGACCAAAATCAACTCTTAGAGTTTTGGGGCTAACTAATATATTTGTTATGAAATAGTAGGCATTCAACAAGTGTTTCTTTTCCTTTCATATATTTCATCATTTAAAGGACAAGGCAGCTTGGCGCACGTGGGTGTCACAGTTGGTTGAGTGTCTGACTCTTGGTTTCAACTCAGGTCATGATCTCAGGGTTGTGAAATCGAGCCCCGAGACAGGATCTGTGCAGAACATGGAGTCTGCTTGAGATTTCCTCTCCCTCTGCCCCTCCTGCTCATGGTCTCTCTTTCTCAAATAAATACGGTTTTGAAAGAAATAAATGATAAGGCAGCATAAATGTAATGAATCTGCATTCAGCCTCTTCACTCTTCAGGAGTCTTGGTTTGGGGAAAATATAAACCAATTACATTCACTAGTTTTATTAGAAAACGTTAACTAAGAGGGCTACTAAAGCATAACACAAAATATAGGGTGATATTAGGCTGAATATGTTAGTTGAAAAGTCAAACAATAAAAACAGAAAAATAGCCGGTATTCTCTTGGGCACTGGAAACAACAGCACCAGTGGTTCCTATACTTTGGGGGCACATTGGAATAACCCGGGCGTGTCTTAAAAATACTGATATCTGGTTCTACCTCCAGACTTTCTGATTTTTTAATCTCATATGTAGAGTCAAACAACAACAACAACAAAAACAACCTGATGTCATAGATGCAGAGAACAGATTGGTGGTTGCTAGAGGTGAGTGGTGGATAGGTGAAATGAGTAAAGGTGGTCAAAAGGTAACAAACTTCCAGCTATAAAATAAATCAAGGGGATATAAAGTATAGAATGGTGACTATAGTTAATATATATATCATATCATATATTTGAAAGTTGGTAAGAGATTAGAACTTAAAAGTTTTCAGCAAAAGAAATTATGTAACTATGTGTGGTGATGGATGTCAACTTTAAAAAAAAAAAGGAAAAGAAGAGGTCCTTAAGGCAGCATAGAATAAATAGATTAATCTCTAAATCATGCAAATAAGAAATCACTGGCATAATTTGTTGAGCGTCATGGCAGTGTTCACCTGATCATTTCTTTATAGTGTAAGTGAACTCAAATTGGAAAAAGCTGTGATGTTATGGCAGCTGTATTAGCTTGGAGTGAGAAGACTTGGATTCACACCAGTTCTTTTGCTCATTAGCAAATTTAAGATGGCCAATTCATTTAACCTTGCTGAAACTCCGGTTTGCGTCTTCCTGGCATGAGAATAATCGAATCTGTCTTGCATGGTTACTATAAATACTTTAAAAAGCTAATATATGTGAAAGTAAATAATAAAGTATTATTTAAAGACTTTAAAGAATTATTATTTGAAAGGATTTTTCTTAACCTTAGAAATGACATGATATTGTAAAATGTAATAATCTCATAGAAGTGAATAGATTATTATATTTTGTGTATTTTTTCAGTGCTTTAAGAAATGGAGCTCTGTATACAGTAGGTAATGAATGCTATTGAACTTACCATGTTTAGTACGCGAAGTGTTTTTTTGTATTTATTTCCTATACAGTGTGTTAATATGTGAAAAACATGAACTTTGGACTCAGGCCTGGATTTCAACATGGATCTTGTCACTTATTAGCAAATTTGTGTCAGTAGACATGTTCTTAGTGTTAGATTTCTTTTCTCTTTATATTAGGGATAATAAAATTTATCTTTCACAGCAGGGCTACTGTGTGAGGTTCCAGTGTAAAGTGCCAAGCATAGTACCTGGCACAAAACTTATGGGAAATGTTAATTCCTTTTTTCTCTCTGAAAGTACAATAATCTAGGAAGAGTAATTTAAAAGTCTAAGTAATGATAAGTTCTCAATGGCTAAAAATTCTTAAATGTTTTACTTGTTTGACTGGTTCTTTATCACTTTAACTTTGAAGTATCCACCTCCTCACCATGAATACTTTAAAAAGCAGTGTTTATTTTGTTTTTTCAGATAATAAAAAAAAGCTTTAAGTTTACACCATGGATAGCACCAAGGAGAAGAATGGCAATTACAAAGATGATCTTCTGCTTAGGATGGGACTTAATGATAATAAAGCCGGAATGGAAGGATTAGATAAAGACAAGATTAACAAAATTATAATGGAAGCCACGAAAGTACGTTTCTTATTTCTTTTGCTATCATTAACTTAGTAGCTTTTTATTTTAATTTTTTAATTAATTAATTAGTTAATTTAAATTCAATTTGCCAACATATAGTATAACATCCAGTGCTCATATCCCGTCAAGTGCCCTCCTTGGTGCCTATCACCCACTACTCCATTCCTCCACCCACCTCCCCTTCTGTAACCCTTTGTTTCCCATAGTTAGGAGTCTAATGATTTGTCTACCTCTCTTATTAGTAGCTTTTTAACTTTCTGTTTAAAATAAAATCAGTAAGCTTTAAATATTTTTATTGTAGTTTTTAATATTTTAAAGTATCCTGTTGTTAAAACAAACAGGTATGGAATAATCTCTTTTCTGTTCTGTTACCCTTGCCATCCAGTTTTCTGCTTCACATACACATAATATGCATGTTAAAGCAAAATAACATACATGTTCTTTTTTCACCCTTTTTCTAAGTAGAAGAATACTGTAATTGTGGTTTTTGTTTTTGTTTCCATTAATGTAATTTGGAGGTCTTTCTGTATAAGTAAAGATCTTCATTCTTTTTTATGCCTTCATGTGTGGATATAATAAAATTGTTTGAACCAATCAGAATGTTTATTTATAAACATTTAAGTCATTTCTAGTCTTTTGTTTTTTACCAGCAATACTACAGTGAATGACCTAGTATTTTATGACACATGTGCAGATAAAATTATAGGAGAGATTCTACAAGTGGAATTATTCTACCAAATACATTGTCAAAAAGGGATATATGCATGTGCAGTTTTTATGAATTGCCCAATTGCCCTCCATAGTAGATATATCAATTTAAATTATCACTGCCAGTATATGAGAGTATATTACCATGGTACAACTGTGCCAATATAGTGTGTAACTAAACTTTTGGATTTGCTAATCTACAGTGATATAGTGTAACATTAATTTGCATTTCTCTTATGAAAAGTCAGATATTGTGGACATTGCTGCTATAAATTATGGACATTGCTGCTATAAACATCATGGTGCAGGTGTCCCGGCGTTTCATTGCATCTGCATCTTTTTTTTTTTTTTTTTTTTTTTTTGCATCTGCATCTTTGGGGTAGATCCCCAGCAGTGCGGTGGCTGGGTCGTAGCACAGGTCTATTTTTGACTCTTTGAGGAACCTCCACACAGTTTTCCAGAGTGGCTGCACCAGTTCACATTCCCACCAACAGTGTAAGGGTTCCCGTTTCTCCGCATCCTCTCCAACATTTGTGGTTTCCTGCCTTGTTAATTTTCCTCATTCTCACTGGTGTGAGGTGGTATTCTAAGTTTTCTTTTAAGAAAAAAAGATTTTATTTATTTGTTTGAGAGAGAGAGAGAGGGACCGAGAGAGCATAAGCAAGGGGAAGGGCAGAGGGAGAAGCAGGCTCCCCACTGAACAGACAGCCTGAAATGGGGCTTCATCCCAGGCACCCCAGGCGCCCCTAAAATTTTCTCTTAACTGACATTTTTAATGAAAATTTCTGCCAATTTTGTATGTGTTGAGTATTATTATATTTTGATTATTTAAGCATTTAGGTCACTGCTATTGGTAACATACAAATGATGTGAAAATCTTGATGGTAAAAATATATTCATGATTTTCCTGAAATGAAGTCAAGAAACACAGAGTTTATGAAATAAACATCATCTATGAGGAAAAAAAAAAAGAAAAGTCAGATAGTGCATCTTTTCATATGTTTAAAAAGCCACTTGTGGGACACCTGGATGGCTCAGTGGTTGAACATCTGCCTTTGGCTCAGGTTGTGATCCCCGGGTCATGGGATCGAATCCTGCATCAGGCTCTCCGTGGGGAGCCTGCTTCTCCCTCTGCCTGTGTTTCTGCCTCTATCTGTGTCTCCCATGAATAGATACATAAAATCTTTTAAAAAAAAAAGTTTTTTTTAAAGCCACTTGTATTTTACTTTTTTGCAAACGGTCTCTTCTTGTCCTTTGTATAGTTTTCCATTTGATTATTATACATCTTTTTACTTTGCTTATGGTGTACTTTATCCTGTGCAGAAGTTTTTTGTTTGCTTTTTTATATGTACTTGAATTAGTCAGTGACATATGCTTTTATCCAAGGTTCTAAATGTTTTCTTCTAACATCTCTGGTCTCATGTGTATATTATGAAATATCCGTGTAGAAAGGTGTAAAATTAGAATATCCTTTTTCTTAAGAAATGCATGCTGATATCCACAGCAACTTACTTTTAAATGATTTAGCCAAAAAGAGGAAGAGGAACATGCATTTGTGTGCGTACACATGTCTGTGCAAGTGGAGCTGGAGTGTGTGTATATGCATATACATAGGAGTTGTGGGAGAAACTAAATGTAGCAAGTATCTTAAGTAAGACATGTGAGTGTTTATTGTATTATTCTTTGAACTGTTGGAAGATGTAGAAATTCCAAAATAAAAAATTGAGGGAAAAATAATTTTTTAACTGTGTAAAACAGAGATACATTTTAAAAGTAAAAGAATTGGGACGCTTGGATGGCTCAGCAGTTGAGTGTCTGCCTTTGGCTCAGGGCATGATCCTGGGGTTCAGATCAAGTCCCACATCTGGCTCCCTGCATGGAGCCTGCTTCTCTCTCTGCCTTTCTCTCCCCCGACCCACCCCCACCCCTGTCTCTCATGAAATAAATAAAATCTTTAAAAATAAATAAATAAATAGATAGATAGATAGATAGATAAATAAATAAATAAAAGCAAAAGAATTGAGATGAAGTAAGCAAGCATAATATATGGACCCTAGTTGGATCTTGGTTTGAACAAATATTTTTGGAGCATTTAAGGGAATTTGAATATGGATCCTTTCCTTAGTGATCTGCAGTGCTTTCTTCTATTCTATTGGATTATTTTTTGTTATATCTTTACAATATGATCTTAATTACAGTACTTTATAATAAATCTTGATAACAGCTAGGACAGGTTCCTTTTTTACTCTTTATTCTTTTTGAAGAGTATCTTAGATATTCTTGAAACTTTGCTGTACCATATAAACCATAGGACAACATGAGGGTTAGAAGCACTTATCCCCCCCCACACACACACACAGTTGAAAATCCATGTACAACTTTTGACTCTTCCAAAATAAACTGCTAATAGCTTAGCCAATAACATAAACAGTTGATTAGCACAAATTTGTATATTGTGTGTATTATATATTGCATTCTTACAAATAAAGTAAGCTAGAGAAAAGAAAATATTATTAAGAAATTCTTAAGGAAGAGAAAAATACCTATTTACAGTATTGTCTATATTTATTGAAAAAAATCCATGTATAAGTGGACCTGCACAGTTCAAACCTGTGATGTTCAGGGGTCAACTGTACACACATATCAGTCATAAAACTATATGCAGATCATCTGATTGACATGTATCAATCATAGGAAATATATACTTTACATGTATTTTATATATTAATATATATTAAAATATTTATATATTGTATGATATTTCTCTAGTATGGGGGGAATGGGAAGTTCATCATAAATATCTTTTTTAAATTGAAATTTTCTAATTGTTACTGCTTCACAGCCAATGCAGTTTACTTCTTTAAAACTTTTATAAAAGAAAATTTTAAACATATACAAAATTAGAATACTAAAGTGAATTCCTGGGTAATCATCACCCAGTGTCAACAGTTATCAACATGTTTGTAAATATTGTTTCATCTATGTTACCCTGCCTAGTGAATTTTGAAGGTAGAGACTGGAGTATTTTCAAACAATTCCTAATAAGTTGGACAAATTTCAAAAAGTTTCCAGTTTCCAAAACTGACTCAAGAAAATATGGAAAATCCAAATAGACCTTTAACAAGGAAAGAAATTAATAATTAATCTCTCCCCCGCCCTGTAAAAAAAACAGGTCACAATGGCTTCAGTGGTGAATTTTATCTGACATTTAAAGGAGAAATAAGGGGCACCTAGGTGACTCAGTAGTTGAGCATCTGCCTCTGGCTCAGGGAGCCTGCTTCTCCCTCTGTCTGTGTCTCTGTGCCTCTCTCTCTCTCTCTCTCTCTCTCTTTCTCTCTGTCTCTCATGAATAAATAAATAAAATCTTTTTAAAAATAAGTAAAGGAGAAATAATATCAATATTCCACAAGCTCTTCCAAAAACTAAAAAGGATGTGACATTTAGAAACTCATTCTGTGAGACCAGTATCACCTTGACACGATAGCCAGACAAGCAGAAGATTATAGATCATTGTCAATATAAAAGTCCTCAACAAAACGTTAGCAAACTGAATCCAACTATATGTATATATAAAACTGTATGTGTAACTATATATATAAAGATTATGTATCATGACCAAGTGGGATTTATTCCAGGAATGCATTTTTCTTCTAAAAATCAGGAACAAGGCAAAGATGCCCATTCTCCTGTCTATGCAACATAGTCTAGAAAGTTCTAGCTAATTCAGTCAGGCAATAAAAAGAAATAAAAGGCATTTAGATTGGGAAGGAAGAACTAAAACTATCTCTTCACAAATAACGTGATGTTACATGTAGAAACTCTTCAGGAATTTCAAAAGGAATGCAACAGTTATACCACGAAAATCACAAAAATGTGTTGGGGGAAAGTAAAGATTTAAAAAATGGATAGGGATGCATGGGTGACTCAGTTGGTTAAACATCTGCCTTCCACTCAGGTCATGATCCCGGGGTCCTGGGATTGAGCCCCTTGTTGGGCTCCCTGCTCAGGGGAGTCAATTTCTCTTTCTCCCTCTGCCCCTCCCCCAGCTTGTGTGAGCTCGCGCCCTCTCTCTCTCTAATAAATAAATCTTTAAAAAAAATTAAAAATAAAAAATGAAGAAAGATTACATGTTCAAGGATGAGAAGACTCAATATTGTTAAGAGGGTATTTCTCCTCAAATTTATCTGCAGATTCAATGTACTTCCCCATCCAAATTCCAGGGGAATTTTTCTGCAGAAATTGATAAACAGACTAAAATTTATGTGGAAATGCAAAAACATCTAAAACAGCCAGAACAGTTTTGAAAAGGACAAACAGGGAGTTCTTTGACTTTCCTGGGTTTTTTTTTTTTTAAGATTTTATTTATTTATTCATGAGAGATAGAGAGAAGCAGAGACACAGGCAGAGGGAGAAGCAGGCTACCCGCAAGGAGCCCAATGTGGGACTCGATCCCAGGACCCTGATATCACGACCTGAGCCAAAGGCAGATGCTTAACCACTGAGCCACCGAGACGCCCCAACTTTCCTGTTTTAGAACTTATTATAAAGCTACAGTTATTAAGAAATGTGGTGCTGCTATAAGACTAGATGTATTGAACAATGGAGCAGAATTAAGAGTCCAGAAGTAAATCTTGTATTGACACTTTATTAATTTTTGATAAAAGTACTAAGGCAGAAGAATATATGATCTGTCAGCAAATGGTCCTGGGACAGCTGAATATCTACACACAAAAAAGATGAACTGAGACCCTCAGTTCACACCATACACAAATATAACTCAAAATCGGGTGAAATGTAAGAGCTGATGCAGTAAAAACTTCTAGAAGATAGGAAAAAATCTGAAACATTTGGTTAGGAAGCATTTCTTAGATACACCACCAAAAACACAATTAATAAAAAAAAAGTTGACAAGTCAGACCTCATCAAATTTCAAAACTTTCGTACTTTTAAAAGATATAATTAAAAAAGAAAATGATATGGGACGCCTGGGTGGCTCAGCAGTTGAGCATCTATCTACCTTCAGCTTAGGTTGTGATCTGGTCCTGGGATCAAGTCCTGCTTTGGGCTCCCGACAGGAAGCCTGCTTCTCCTGTGTCTCTGCCTTTCTCTGTGTGTATCTCATGAATAAATAAATAAAATAATACAATCTTTAAAAAGAAAATGATAAGCCACATACTAGTATAAAATATTTGCAAAATACTTATTTGATAAATGATTTACATCCAGATTATACAGAGAATTCTTACAAATTATTAAGACAACCTAATCAAAAATGGGCAAAAGATATAGTCATCTCACTAAAGATGTAAGAATGGCTCTTAAGCACATGAAAGATGTTCAACATCATTAGTCATCAGGGAAATGCAAATTAAAACCACAATGAGGTGCCATTCACACTATTACAGTCTAGAATGACTATGAGACAGACAATAACAAATGCTGATAACAATGTGGAAAAGTTGGAACCCTTATGCCTTGCTAGTGGGATTGTAAAATGGTTCAGCCTCTTTGGAAAACAGTCTGGCAGTTCCTCAAAAGGTTTAACATAGAGTTACCATATGACACAGAGATTCCACTCCTGGGGTACGTAAATAAAGTAAAAACATATGTCCACGTAAAAATGTATAAATGAATGTTCATTGCAGCATTTTTCATAAAAGCCATAAAATAAAAATAATGTAAATTTCCATCAATCCAATGAGTAGATAGATGTAGATGTTATGTTTAGTGATAAGATGATAGGTAGTTTTCTAAAAGTGATTTCCTACATTTTATTTAATGACTAACATTAAAAAATTTTAAGTGCTTTATTTTATTTTTAAATTTTTTTTAGAGAAGGTTGTGGGGGTGGGGGGTGGAAGGAGTGTAGAGAGGATCTTACGAAGTCTCCATGCCCAGGTTGGAACCAGACCTGTGGCTCGATTTCAGGATCCTGAGATCATGACCTAAGCCAAAATCAAGAGTCGAATGCTTTACCAATTAAGCCACCCAGACACCCCTTAGATGCTTTTTAAGTAAAAACGAAAGTGATAACTGATGACCTAAACGACTGATATGGATATGCCTCGTGGATCCTGACTAGAACACATTGTTATTTTTTGAGTGTGTATCTGTACTCATTCCAGAGAGTTTGTCCTGTGTAAGCACTGCCTCAGCAATCCTATGATGTAGGTAACTATAATTCATTTTATAGGGAAAGACATTGACACGCAGAAAGATTAAGTAGCTTTAGAGCTCCCAGCTTGTAAGTAGTGGAGCTAAGTTCTGAATTCAGTTATTCTGATTCTAGCCTGTATGCTTAGCCACCATGGTGATACTACAGTGATGCTTTCCTTCTGCCCCTTTACTTATGCTTTATTTTCTTACATAGGGGTCCAGATTTTATGGAAATGAGCTCAAGAAAGAAAAGCAAGTCAACCAACGAATTGAAAATATGATGCAACAAAAAGCTCAAATTACCAGCCAACAGCTAAGGAAAGCACAATTACAGGTATTAATTTAATTGTTAAATAAAGTAGAAGCTAGTAGAATAGTAATTGATAGTAAAATGTATCGTGATCACGTCGTAATGAAAACAAGGTAAACTGTAAATGTTCATTACCATGTAAAATTTAACAGAGATGCATATGTGGTTAAATATCACCCTGCTCTTTTATATCAAGACCCCATACCTAGGCATTGTCACCTCCATTATACAGAAAAGTAAATGGAGCTTGAATTAGGGTAAATAACTTGCCTAGCTTCAGACTAGGATTTAATCCAAAGTTTATGTTCTTTTTATTATATACACATTTTGCAACTAGAAAAAGGCCACAGGATAAACGTGGCATGTTTTCTTCAAATGCCGATTTTGCAAAAATGATTTGGGGTAACATGTTAACTAATTAAATTAGAAATTTAAAGCATAATTATGTTGTACTCAAACTAGGGTAGACTGCCAAATGTCCAATGTAGTTTTAAGATAAAACACCAGGCTTCTAAAAATTTGGAGGCTTTTGGCTTCTCCACCATCCTCAGGGAATAAATACTCAAGAGTTTCCTCTGGTATTTAAAAGCTATTTAGGAGGAAAGTTAGAGTAGAGCAAAGTTGCAGGGCTTTGTGTAGTAGATCGAGAACACAAAGTAGTCAAGGCTCTGCTAGTAAAACTGAAGTTTACTTTTTTTTTTTTATAATTACTCTGAGTTTTTACCCTCTCAAAATCTGATTCAATTTGACAAAGCACTTTAGGCTATAAATAATGAAAAAAAATTATATTAATCTACTATGCCACAAAATTCTTCTCATGATAGAGTTCAGAAATGATGAATTTTATTTCTTCTTTATCAATCTATAATGTGTCATTTTCTTTCATATATGGTTTCCTAGAGCACAAGCTAAATTTTTATATTATGTGTTAAGTGGTTCTGCTATCATGACAAAAGATCACTTGCCTTTGTCTTTCAAATCCTCATTTTTAATGCTTCATAGTGTTGTACTCTATAGAGGTACCATAATTTATTTACATTATCCCACCAGGGTTTCAGTTTTTTGTTTTATATATAACCTTGTGATGATCATTCTTATCTATATATGTTTGCACTCTTGTCCTGTTATTTTCATCAAAGACTAGTTTTACATTTTCAACACCAGAATGCTAGTTTCCTCACATACTTTAAAACTCTATCTTATTAATTTTATCAATCTTGTAGTTTTTGCTGGTAGTGTCCAAATATTGTTTCATGGGTTTTTTTTTATTTTTTTTTTAATTTATTTACAATAGTCATACAGAGAGAGAGAGAGGCAGAGACATAGGCAGAGGGAGAAGCAGGCTCCATGCACCGGGAGCCTGACGTGGGATTCGATCCCGAGTCTCCAGGATCGCGCCCTGGGCCAAAGGCAGGCGCCGAACCGCTGCACCACCCAGGGATCCCTGTTTCATGGTTATTTTAATTGCCTTATTTGATAATAACAGTGAAAGAATGTCTTCTTTCATATTAGCCATTATTATTTCATTCTTGTGGGAATTTCCTTTGTTATTCTGTTTGTATATAGGCTAAGTAGCTAGCACAAGAGACCCCAAAATACAGCGGTTCAGATCAGTTAAGAGTTTCTTTATCCCATAATAGTGAGTAGTCCCAACTGATTGGGTTGTTCTGCTCACAATCGTAATTTAGGGACCCTGGTTCTACATTGTGTTGTTCTATCATCTCCGAACTGTTATCCTTACCTGGATTGACCAAATGGGATTATCTTTAGTCTCTGTTTCAGCCCCTAGAAAGGAAAAAAGAATGAAAAAAATCAAAGGCGAGTAATTTGCTACTCAGCAAGTGAAAGAGAGTTGTACATATTATGTCAGCTCACATTCTTTTGATGAGAATTTAGGTTTCATGACCACACGTAACTGTAGGAGAGGCTGTACAGGATATTTTCCAGCAGGGTGGCCATATGCCCATATAAAGATCTATTACTATGAAAGGAAGAAAGAATGGATTTGGGGGTTCAACTAGCCGTCCAAAGCAATGCCCTTTGCCTACTTTTCTAGAGGAGTTTGTATGTTTTTCTCTTGATGAATACATCTTATCATATATTTTTTTTTAAATGCTGTTAAGTGGCTTCTTCTTTTTTTAATTTTTTTTTTGAATTTTTTTATGATAGTCACACAGATAGAGAGAGAGAGGCAGAGACACAGGCAGAGGGAGAAACAGGCTCCATGCACCGGGAGCCCGACGTGGGACTCGATCCCGGGTCCCCAGGATTGCGCCCTGGGCCAAAGGCAGGCGCCAAACCGCAGCGCCACCCAGGGATCCCCCATCTTATCATATATTAAGGATTCTTTACCTCTTCCATTTGTTTTAAATATTTGTTTTTTTCAGTATGTTTTTCTTTTAATTATGCAGGATTTTTTCCCCTATACATTTTTAAATGTTTATGTAATCAAACCCAACATTATGCAGGATTTTTTCCCCTATACATTTTTAAATGTTTATGTAATCAAACCCAACAGTATTAAAAAACAATTTTTTTTTTGGCTTTGGTATTGTGCATAGAAAGTTATTCCTTACAACCAAACCTGTAGGTTCTTTTAGTATTTTTGTAGTATTTATCTTTAGTCCATTTGGAATTTGTTGTTTTGGGGTTTTTTTGTTTTGTTTTTTAGGAAAGAAAGAGCAGAGGGGGGGAGGGATAGAAGGAGAGAGAGAAAGAGAGAGAGAGAGAGTATTTTAAGCAGGTTCCATGTCCAACATAGAGGCTGAGACAAGGTTTCAGTCTCATGACACTAAGATCATGACCTGAGCTGAAATCAAGACTCGGACGCTTAACCAACTGAGCCACCCAGGTGCCCCTGGAATTTGTTTTAATGTAAGGTGTTATTAAATATGTTTTTCTTAAATAGTAAGTATTATGTTTTTCTTAAATAGTATTATTTTTTCTAAATGGTGATTCATTTTTCTAAACACCGTTTATTTAATCATGGGTCCTTTCTCCACCGAATTGAATGAGGCACTTCCATATACTAAATTCTCATTGTACTTGGATTTGTTTCTGGATTCTCTTTTCTATCCAACTGAATCTTTTTCTCTATCAGTATCATGTAATTTTAGTTATTCAATGGTAATAATATACTTTAATATCCTCCCTGACTACTGTGTTTTAAAATTTTTTTCTCATTCATTCTTTCAAATAATTTTGAGCATCATTTCATCAAATGAAAAAAAATTCCATTTTGTCTGTAATAACATTGTTTATAAATTGATATTAACCCCTAGGCAGTTTATTTTCAGAACTTCTTTTTGGTAAGTTTTATTGATCTATACAAACATCTCATAAAATTTTAAAGATATAATAATACGTATGAGTCATGCGATAAAACAACTTTTTGCTGTTGACTCTTTTTAAACCTCATATCCTTAAATATGCTAATAATCTGAAGGATTAGAAAACACTTTATATTGTATAACAATGCTTCATATTTTGTAAAAGTTTTGACTTTTTTGGGAGACTCTCTGACATCTTTTGCAAGGGGAGTGGCAGGAAATATGTTTTATGTTGATTGTTAAAATGTTTCATTTGTTGAGCTTCCTTTAAAAGAAATTGTACAAATGGGAGGGGATTAAGGAAATCCTAAGGAATCTAAAAGATCTGAGAGAAAGAGATTTTCATGGGAAATGCAATTATATTCTAGAGTTATAAAATTTCCAGATAATAGATTTTATTATGTGTGCTATGATGGTAAGAACTATTACTGCTAGTAAAACTGTGGTAACTAACCTCTGTAGTCATGAACTCCCATAGTGTTTATTCAGAACCTCCGTGTTCTCTCTGTCCTACCCTCAGTAGACTTCTTAAAAGTACAGTCATTTTTGCAGCTGCCAAAACATCTTATAGAATAGGTTCATAAAATAAATAGACAAACATCTATGTTGTAAAATGGCAACTACAAGCAAATCAGTGCATTTTGACCATTTTTAACAACTGATTTTATGAACTCAGGTTTACTGAACAATTTTTAGGGTTATTATAAGTCAAGAAAATGAAAAACAATTTTTCTTTTTTTTTTTTTTAAGATGACATTTGGGTTTTTTAAAGATTTTATTTATTTATTCATTGGAGACACAGAGAGAGAGAGAGAGAGGCAGAGACACAGGCAGAGAGAGAAGCAGGCTCCATGCCAGGAGTCCGACGTGGGACTCGATCCCGGGACTCGGGGATCACGCCCTGAGTCGAAGGGGGACGCTCAACCACTGAGCCACCCAGGGATCCCCCAAAGGCGGCGGTAAACCACTGAGCCATCTGGGCTGCCTGAAAAACAGTATTTCTGAAATAATCTCCTCAATGCAATCGAAAAAGGAGAGTTTTTAAAAGTACATAAAACATAATACTGATATAAAACACACTATTATAGCTTGGTTTGAAGTTATTTCAATATTAAAGACATTTTAAGATCCATTTTAGGGAAGCATCATAAAATAATGGAAAGAGCATAGTCTTGGGAGTAACTTGGTTTACAGGTCTACTGCTAACATTTTCCAGCTGTTTGAATTAGGGCAGATTACTGCATCTTAACAAGGTTTAGTTTCCTCCTGTATAAAATAGGAATAATAATTATCATCTCAGAATTATTTTGACCATCAAATGAGTTCATATAAGAAGTACTTAGCATGTTACATAACACATTTGGTATACTCGGTGTCACTTTTATTTTCAAAATTATAGGTAATATCATTAAGCCCTTTTCATATCTCTGGATAGGAACATGACATGAGTATCTCTTAATTCTTTCAGCCTTTGGGGGTTGGTTCAGTTCCACTTTACAAATAAAATAAGAATGAAGGTTAACTTGCCCGTTATCATGTAACCAGTAAGTGGCAGAGCTGAGACCCAGAAGGAGCTCTCACTCTTCACCATGGTGGCACACACTAGTTCTGAACTGTGGCAGAAGGGATAACATACATATTAGAGGCTCAGATCAGAACTTGAAAGTCATTTGGAAAGGAAAATGGAAAAAAAGGAAAGCATGAGTGAGGATTTCAGCAGAAGAAATTTGAAAAAAGCAGAGTGGTGTACATTTGGTAGATGCAGAGAAAAAACTGTTTCGACAAGGCTAATGACTGTAGAGAAGGGAATGTGTGAGTCACTCAGTGGGGAGGTTTCCTCTTGGCAACTGTACTTTTGCTTTAAGCACAGAAAAGATAATAGACTGCAGAAGAAACTGTCATAGAATTATTATTGTATGAGGCTAAGGAGAACTTTTTCCCATTTGGTTTGCTTTCTGTTTATGATCTTTTTCCTTTCAGTTTTTCTGGGTTAGGGTCCTTCAAATGCTGCTCTCTTATTCTCTGTTGAACCCTATCTTACATGTATTTTCTGGATTAACAGATGGTGGTTTTTAATCCACCCTAGTTTTTAATTAGTCTCCATGATTTGTTTACTTTTTTTTTTTTCAATGGCAGGACGCTATTCTCTAATTTACAATTGAGGTACTGGAAGAAATACTTGTTTTAAATCTGAATGATAGGGAGGTGCCTGGGTGTCTTAGCAGTTGAGCCTCTGCGGTTGAGTCTCTGTCTTAGAGGTTGAGCCTCTGCTCAGGGCGTGATCCTGGAATCCGGGGATCAAGTCCCACATCAGGCTCCCTGCATGGAGCCTGCTTCTCCCTCTGCCTGTGTCTCTGCCTCTCTCTGTGTGTGTCTCTCAGGAATAAAGAAATAAAATCTTTAAAAAATAATAATAAAATAAATCTGAATGATAGAATAATGTCGTAAAGTTCCATTTATTAGGTGTGGTGTCTCACTGCATGAGATCAGCGTTCTCCAAAAGTTTTCTACACATACGACTTTATCTTTTTTAAGCAGATATGTGTGTGTGTGTGTGTGCGTGTGTGCTATATAAGATATACATATATATGAGGAATCCCTGGGTGGCTCAGCGGTTTAGCGCCTGCCTTTGGCCCAGGGTGCAATCCTGGAGTCCCAGGATCAAGTCCCATGTCAGGCTCCCAGCATGGAGCCTGCTTCTCCCTCCTCCTGTGTCTCTGCCTCTCTCTCTCTATGTCTATCATAAATAAATAAATCTTGAAAAAAAAAGATATATATTTATTAGATAAAATTTATTCCTTTTCTGCTATGAGTTTCTCCTCTTTCCGTCCGATAAGGAAAGAATTTAAAGTCAAATAAGGTCCTTCTCCTGGTGGAACTCCTAATTTAGTATCTGATACAGTAAATGCATAGTAAGAGCAGGAAAATAACTAAGGGAACATTAAATTCCATGACATAGAGGATAGATATATTTAAGCTACAGAGAGATAGCTGACTCCTCAGGGCTTTAGGACAGACTGGGAAAGGCATTCTAGACAAAGAATGAAGAAGGCACAGAGCACCCCAGGTCATTCAGTGAGTTGCTGCCTAGACAGGAGCAGACCCTCTTGAGGCTCACTGTGGCTACTGGAAACAAATAGGATTCAAGGTGATTATTTTGAAAAGAGAAGTTCCAGGCTTCACCTGCAGCTAGTGGGAAGCTAGTGTCACTATAATGCTAAGAAGGAAGGCCATGAAAAAGAATTTTGCAGAATGGAAGCAAGGTTGAAGTCCAACATGGAGAAAAAGCTGATTTATGCCCCTGTAACTTTCCACTTTTGAGAAAACCTGCTATAGGGATCTCTACATGGTGGAAATTGTTTGTATTCCAGAGCTCACCATACTTGCTTATATCTGGCTATTTTCCCCTCAGTTTTTGATTGTTTTACTATGCAACTATCCATTGATCCTTTAGTAATAGATTACATCTTTAAACTTGTACCATGTGCCAGTCACTGTTCCATGCTCTTTCTGTATTCCAGCTTATTCAAAGTGATCATAGATCAAAATGATCACACAGCCAGTCACCCTTGGCTGCAGGGAAAGCTGGGAGACATATTTAGCTTCTTCAGCCTCTATAGTAGAGACCACAAAAAAGGAACACTTGAAAATGTGTATGCCTGTTACATAAACGCTTTTCTTACTGACCTACTTTGGTTATTTTTACCTCCTTTCATTTCCCATTCTTCTTTCTTATCCAATTCTTTCTCACTAGAGAAATTTTAAAAATGCTTCAAAGATTAAGGTTCTTCACTGTTATATTTGACATATATATTGAAGTTTCATGAAAGAATAAATTATAGCTTAAATTTTCAATTTTGATTTGTATTGACTAATGGTTACCAAATTTTAGCCTTATAAAAGCAGTTCTACAGAGGGTATGTTTACATTATGGTTGGTACATTCACTTGTACAATACTATTCAGCATAAACATAATATGCCAAAGAAGTATATAATCTTTCGTTGTACATTTCCTTTGTTGCTATTTTAAGACATTAATGTTATGAGTCAAATGAGAGTTGTTTATCTTACCTAAACTGAAGCTTTTATTTACAGTAAATTGGTCTCCAGATTTATAAAGCAGAAGAATCATTTGATACAATCAGTTGGAATAGTTCATCTATTCACTAAATATCTATTAAGTACCTATCATGTGATTGTAGTTATTGAGAGATTAAAGTGTTCATAGGGTATGATATTTGAGATTTAACTGCTCATCTTCATGAAAATAAAATCAGTTACCAGCCTTAATAAGCAATAATCAAGTATATATAGTTAGGTAGGTGGATGAGTGGGTGGAAGGATGGGTAGATGAAAGAGTAGATGGACAGAGACAGATACCTACTAAAAATGAGATATTAGTATTATGATCGGTAATGTTTCGATAGCATGTTGACTCAAAATATGTTAACTTTTTAAAAATTAAGGTTGACAGATATGCAATGGAATTAGAACAGAGCCGGGATCTGAACAATACTATAGTGCACATTGACATGGATGCTTTCTATGCGGCTGTAGAAATGAGGGACAATCCAGAATTGAAGGATAAACCCATTGCTGTAGGATCAATGAGTATGTTGGTAAGTAGATAAAAATCAAAGACAAAAAGGAAATTTCATAACATATTCACGTAAGCCTTACTGGTTCATGAAGGGAGAAGCTTTTAGTAAATTCTACCAGTTTGCTGGGAATTTTTCTGCATGCTTTATATGTGTTCAACATGTCTTGAGGTACAAATTTTTATTTCCATTTTACAAAGAGCAAACTCAACTCAGAGAGGTGTTTAAAAACTTCATAAGTAACTGTTCCAGTCAGAATTGGAGAAGAAAGAAAAGGAAGTGTTACTCTAAAGCAGGTTTGCAAGCAACTTGTTAATAAATTTTATTGGAACATAATCACACCCATTTATTTGTTGTATTAAAAGAGCAGAGTTGAGTACCTGCAACAGAGACCATATGATCTACAAAGCTTAAAGTAATTACTATCTGGACCTTTACAGAAAAGGTTTCCCAACCTTAGTTCTAAGGTAATATGTTTCATTAAAATAGTACTTTAATTAGTTTTTTCATGACTTGGAACTTCTGAATACCACCACGTTGCCTCTTCCATATCACCACTCTAAACATAGAAGGTAAAGATGACCAGGATTGCTATATGTGGCTAAAAATAGCACCTGGAATACATAGATTTTGCTATTAAAAAACATATAAGAGAAACAAGGAGAGGTCTTCTGTTCTGAACTCCTTACAATGCTTAGATAGCTATAAACCTAATTCCTGGAGTTACTATTGTATTATAAAACTATCATCTATTTGTTCGTTATCTCTGCTTCCCTAAGTATACAGGCAACTAACAATCCAGGTTCTAAAACAATGTTTATTGAAAGAGACTACTCTCCTTTCCTACAAATCATCACCTGATATTTGAAAACATGTATTTAATTTTATTAAGAATATCACCATATATTTATCTGAAATTATCTGTGTGCATATATATGTGTATATATATATATTTAAAGCTAAATCCACTGCTAGATCTACAAAATATTTTCCTTTCTATGAATTATATCCTCCTAAAAATTATTTCCAAATTCAAAATAATTATTTGCCATATTTAAACAAAGATTACCCCTTTTGTATGCTCAACTAACAGATTTCACTTCTAATGAGATTTGAGGTATAATTGCTTTTGTTCTATTAAACTCATAAAAGTGTATTTACAGATTAATGGTAGTGATGGTACATGTTTGATTATCCCAATCTATTACAGTTAGAATTCTTCTTTGGTTAATTTGATGGATCTTCATAATGTTCTAAGTTTGCACTCCTAGATAGAACACAGACCTGATAGCAATTATTTATTGCTGCCTAACAAACAGACTTTAAGTACTTAGTGGTTAACCATTTATTTGCTCATGATTCTATAATTTGGACAGAGTACAAAGGGGTAACTTTACTCTGCCTGGGATTGGCTACAATTACTTAGCTGGGCTGGAGGGTCCAAAATGGCTTTATTAACACAGTTTGGCCTTTCAGCCCATATGGTTGGAATGGCTTCCAGCCATTGAGCTTTCTCCTCTCCACAGGGTACATCATCGTTTAGCAGTTTAACTCAAGATCTTTACACAGTTGCTGGATCCCCAAAAAAGTAAAAGCTGAAGTTCTAGACTTCATAATGCCTAGGCTTCAAGACTCACATAATGTCATTCCCTCAGAATCTTTTGGTCAAAACAAGTCACGGTGCAAATTACTTGGCATGAGGGATTAGAACCCACCCTTGGACAGGAAGAACTATAAAGTATTGTGGCTGTGATTTACAATCTTCCATAAACCTAAAGGTTAAAGGAAGTTGTATCATAAGTTTTGTTCCAGATTTACCACAGATATAGCTTTCATATCCATTCCATTAGACTTATTTATATTTAAACCATTGATTTATCTTTCTAGTGCTATCTGCATTTTCTGTTTCAGAATACTGACCAAAGATTAACATAGCTTTGAGTAATATCAAGATTTTTTCAATGGCATTTGAAAACCATTAATGGCAAATTGATACTATTCTGAAGTAATCCCTTCAGCTGATAGATTGTTTTACATTTCTTTGAATTTTCACTTGAGATTTCAAAATTTCATTTGTGATAAAATTTTTTGTAAATGGTACTATGGTATCATCAACAGGATTTAAAAGTAATGGTCTCTTTTTTACTTTTAAAGTTTTAAAAAAATAAAAAATAATTAAAGTTTTTTAGTTCCATCTCCTACTCAAAATGTTTTCACCAAAAAGAATATTCAAGTCTTAAGAAATAAAACATAATTTTAAAAGCTCTTTCAAGATTTCATCACTTCATTTTTGGACATTTTATTTGGCTGACTGTATATCAGAACCTTTGATTTTTGTTCTAAATGAAAAATTTCAAAACCCCAAATATAGCAAATTCCAAATCTATATTATTATACCATGCAATTACTTTCTATACTGTTACTTTCAACAATTTCTTTTTTTTTTTTAATTTTTATTTATGATAGTCACAGAGAGAGAGAGAGAGAGGCAGAGACACAGGCAGAGGGAGAAGCAGGCTCCATGCACCGGGAGCCCGACGTGGGATTTGATCCCGGGTCTCCAGGATCCTGCCCTGGGCCAAAGGCAGGCGCCAAACCACTGCGCCACCCAGGGATCCCTATACTGTTACTTTCATGTAACATCATTCAGTATCATTCAAACTTTGATATATACTATATCACAGGTATGCCTTAGAACCAATGAAGTTTAGCTATTGGAAATGTGAGATAACCTTTTTATTAGTCTTATTTATTACCTGGGATCACATTAATATAGAGAGATCAGTGAGAGTCATGGTATCATAATACCATGATAGGATAAACTCAAAGCTTGATTTGAGACAGTGGCCTATAAAACAAATGTCCTTGACTTGAAAATGCACATCAGTAATGTGTTTTTTATGAATGCATTGATCAGTATGTCCATTTAGGTTTGTATATTTTTTCCCATGTGGTCCATTTTCTTTCAGTCTACCTCAAATTACTACGCAAGAAGGTTTGGTGTTCGTGCAGCCATGCCAGGATTTATTGCTAAAAGACTCTGCCCACAACTTATTATAGTGCCCCCAAACTTTGACAAATATCGAGCTGTGAGTACAGAGGTAAGTCTGATGAAGCACTCTTACTTACAGCCTTCCTGATTTCTTGTCACCTACAAAGTCAAGTCCAAATGGCCTTAGCGCCTCAGAATTCAGCCTTAGTTTATCCCTTTAAGTCCTACCTCCTACCACTTCTCCAGGTCATAATGGTGAGAACTGAGCTGAGTATCTATTTCCCAGATCTCTACTCTTCCACATATTTTTTCATCTCTTTAGAAACTCTTAATCTCCCTGACAAACTTTGAATTGCCTTAATTATAATCTATATTAACTTTAGCTGTTTTTTTCTTAATGTGCAATACATAAGTTTTTCTAGAATCATCTTATATTTATAACTTACGTTGTCATTAATTTCAGCCTCTTTTGTGAATAAAGTTTTTATCAAATGTTTTAAAGCAGTAATGAGATTCCTATATTTTAATTAACTGCTTTCCTTGCCCAACAGTCTAGTGAAGATGCTTATGAGCATTTAATGTCCAGGAGACTGATAATCAAGGAAGAAATAAGAATAATCCTTTTTTTTAAAGTTTTTATTTATTTATTCATGAGAGACACAGAGAAACAGGCAGAGACATAGGCAGAGGGAAAAGCAGGTTGCCCCAAGGGAACCTGATGTGGGGCTCTATCCTGGGACCCTGGGATCATGACCTGAGCCAAAGGCAGATGCTCAACCACTGAGCCACCCAGGTGCCCCAAAAGGGAATAATCTTGCTTTGAAAAGAATCTCTGAAATATAAAGATTTGATTATTCAGTAAAATTACCTAAACTGTCATGTATGAAAAACTGCCATTTTCTCTATTTTTCATAACTGGATTATCATGCTAGTGCTAAGACCTAAATCATAAATTTAAATTTTAGGGATCCCTGGGTGGCGCAGCGGTTTGGCGCCTGCCTTTGGCCCAGGGCGCGATCCTGGAGACCCGGGATCGAATCCCACATCGGGCTCCCGGTGCATGGAGCCTGCTTCTCCCTCTGCCTATGTCTCTGCCTCTCTCTCTCTCTGTGACTATCATAAATAAATTAATTAATTAATTTTAAAAAAAATGTTTAAAAAAATAATAATTAAATAAATTTAAATTTTAGAATACTACATCAAACACTCTCAGACTATGGTAGTAGAATGCATTGTGTTAAAGACTACTGTCCAGCAGCCCCGGTGGCGCAGCGGTTTAGCGCCGCCTGCAGCCTAGGGCATGATCCTGGAGACCCGGGATCGAGTCCCACGTCAGGCTTCCTGCATGGAGCCTGCTTCTCCCTCTGTCTGTGTCTCTGCCCGTCCTCTCTCTCTCTGAATAAATAAATAAATCTTAAAAAAAAAAAAAAAAAGACTACTGTCTGCATTGAAACTCTTAAAAAACCATAGCCTAGCACTTACTACCATTTGGTCATGTAAATGATCTTTAGATTCACTCCTCTCATTTGTATTCCACCTCATATACGCTAGAAATGAAACCTCTCCAAACTGGAATAATACACCACTTCAAGTTTTTAAAAAATTCTTTTTTTCATTCTTTCAAAAACAGCCTGTGGCAGCAAGTGCTTTTTGCCTATCTCTGAAATGGTGGTGAACAAAGGGGAAGCCCATTCACATGCAGTTACTACTTGTCTCTTTTACAGTATTCCTAACTGAGAAAGAGATATAGTACTAACCACAAATATTACAGGGTTTCAATAAGTTTGAAAATCCTTCAAAGGCCTTGTAAGAAGGAATTTTTTTTTGAGTCCTACTTGAACTCCGTAAAACTTTTGACAATATGATAATGAGAGCTAAATTGTTTTTAGTTCTCTTCAGTCTAGTTACTTACATAAATTGGAGAAATCTTTCTCAAATTAGAGCAGAATCTAGTTAATTTGCAGATAGCAAATGGGTTCTTATGTGTAAACAAACTATAGCACAAACTCACTGACTGTAAGTATATTAATATATATATATATATATATATATATATATATATATATACACTGTTGTTTTAAAAGTTTAAGGAAAAGCCATTTTTATTTTATCCAAAAGAAGGGAACAGCTTTAACTTTTGGAAGCCTAAGTGCTTGAATTTTAGTGGAACATGTCTATTTTTGTTCTTTAAGCAGTATCCTATGAAAAGGAAGTTAGTGAGTACTCCATTTCTCTAGGGAGTACTTCTCATTCAGAATAATCTTAGTTGGCTGCCAACTGCAGACTTTCCAGAGTTTCATTTTCACTAGAAAGATTCCATTTGAGTACATTATAAAACTGGTTTCTTCCAGAAGAACAAAGCTAATTAAGGTACTCTCTGAGTAAAGCTTGGCCAAGTTTTATATCACCATTTTCTAAAATTACCTTTGACTCAGCTGTTCATAATTAAATTAAGCTAAAAAGCTTTATTTTATAAAACTTTGAAAAAAAGTTTTCTCATGATACAGCAGAGAGATTTTAAATACTAGATGAAAGTATAACATAATTCAACTAATACCTTTTTCCAAGTATGTATTTATTATTTTGGCAACCATTTCCTCTACTTTCAGCTAATACTTCAGTGGGTAAAAAAAATCCATAGTTTCATGTAATCAAACTATCTTAGATAAATGACATTTTTGGAATTCTTTGGAAATTATGATCTCACGTTTGTGTCAAGATGCAGCTCCAGACTTTTCCCCATTATTTAACAAATCCGCAGACTTCCACTGAAGATTTTGTTATCTTTTCCATTCCAAATTCTGGTAATTAAGCTTTGTTTTCTGAATGGATGTGTGCATTAGTGTATGTTTTTGAGTGGAGTTTTATGTGTATATTATAATTAATTAAAATAGAACTACTTTCTAAAGCAACATAGTACCTTTATGTAAGATTATTCCTTTTTAGGGGCACCTAAGTGGCTTAGTTGGTTAAGCACTGAACTCTTGATTTGACTCAGGTCTTGATCTCAGGGTTAGAGTTCAAGCACCACATTGGGCTATATGCTGGGTGTGGAGCCTTCTTAAAAAAAAAAAAAAAAGATTATTCCCTTTTTAAAATAAACAAAAAAGGTGACGGGGAGTAAGATCCAATTGTTCCCACTTCTACTTTTGACCAGTTACTTAAAATTATGTTACTTAACCATTTTTTCTGGGCTTATCAGAACGATGTCTGAGATTTATTTGAATCGTTTATTATATGTAGATAAAAGTGACTGGATAGGGATTATATCAGCTGATTATATCAGCTGTTTCATAGTCTTCTGCCCTCATGATCTATTTTAATGCAAAGAAGAATTTGGACAAACTGGTGCTAACAATTATTTATTTCCTAAATCCATGAGCTATTGATTGCAGGATTTTTACTATTGTTGCAAAATAAGAATATTAATGTTTCTTATCAGCTGTTATATTACAGGTTTTGCTATGGCAACAAAAGTTAAACCATTTTGTTCCTTTTGAAGGTTAAGGAAATACTTGCTGATTATGATCCCAATTTTCTGGCCATGAGTCTTGATGAAGCCTACTTGAATATAACAAAGCACTTACAGGAAAGACAAAATTGGCCTGAGGACAAAAGGAAGTATTTCATCAAAACAGGGAACCCTCTAGAAAATGGTAAGCAACTTATTAGAATGCTCAAAGTATAAAACAAATAAAAAGCCTTTTATATTAACCCAGTTAATTTATTATCCCGCATAGGTGGTATGGTAGGACTAGATATATCTTTGTTATGAAAAAGTATTAAAATGAAAGATTAGAAACTTAAAGTATACTGTGGAATTTCTACGTTAAATTTGTAACTTTTAAACCAAAGAGATTGGCTTAAATCACTTTTAAATCAAATGAGATTGTTAAATCACTAGAGTTTCAGAATGTGCAGAGCCTCTGAACAAAATAATTTCATATCAGTTCTTTTCTGAAGACTAAGAACGGCTTGGATCATGTTGAGTCTGAGGAGGTTATCTATTTAAGGTGGCCTTTTAGTGTAGTTGTTAAAAAAGAAATTAGATTTTTTAAAAATTAGCCTCAAACATATCAAAACATTGGGTGGGGTTTTTTCCCCCTCATTTTCAAAGTGGTCTACAATCTGGTAATACAGACCCTATTTTGATTCTTCTGTATACACTGAAATAAAAGTTTTATGACGCCAAGGTTTTTTTCAAATGGTCCCTTTGTTACTTACCAGGGAACATGGAGACATTCTACATAGGCTTTCAACCCTCTGTCAGGGGTATGATTATTTCAAATATCTTAGCTGTCGTGCACCCCTGAGTAAAGTTCACCTGGATGAAATGGTAGAGGGTTTGCTCACAACCCATGGCTGTATTTCATGTCCACAGCTCATTGATTCTTCAAGGAGGACAGCCAGTGGTGGGGAAACCTGTTTGTAACTTTCTGTGAGGCAAATATGGTGGATCTTCTATGGCATAATATTCTATCGCTCATATTGTTTGGGGCTCACATCTTTGGAGGAAGTTTAGTGTGGACATCAAATCACAACCTCACTACCTTATTTAGAACTCCAGGAGCAGGTCTCTCTCTTTAATAGAAACATTAAACAATAAACAAGTATAATTCCTGGACACAGAGGCTTAGAGCAAAAGATTTGTTTTAGGGGGAGGAAGCACACAAAGCCTGATGTCACTTTGCTTTACATCTCAATTTTTTTCCTTACTCTTCACAAGAGAAGGTGAAGGAACCATTAAATGGTTATATCAGAGCATCTCCTTGAATACCTCCTATAACAGTTATGCTCACAATATGTAAAAAAAAAAAAAAAACATTGGGACTAAGGTAAATGTTTTTATTCTCTACAAATGTTCTTTTCATTTATTATACTGCATGCAAAAACTCACTTTGAAGATGTGAATTTTTAATTACTTACATATTTTGCTCTTGCTGTATTTCATATTTTTAAGCCATTTAAGTACTTTTAACTTTTTGTCCTCCTTCATATATAAATCCCTGTGGGCTGAACTTTTTAGCATATCTGATTTCACATTATGGCATTGGAAGTTGGAGCCATGGCAGGAGATTGATATATCTTTCTCTGAAGTCCAAGACATTTTTCTAATGTTTGCCCCTTTTCTGAAAGGTGCAGTCTTTGGAAAAGTACTGCTACTTTGTCTACAAACAAATAAGTGATAATAATTATTATTTTATATTTATTCTGCCAAATAAATCTGAATGGTGAGTGGGAAGCAATGTAAGAAACTGAAATACCATATACTTTCAGCACTCAGCATCTGTGTATCCCATATAATTATGGGATGCTTTCATTTTAGTGTTTGGATGATAAGAAACCTTAGTTTTGTACTCTGATCACCTCAGTTATGGGAATTTTAAAGATTTTTTTTTTTCAGAAAGCAAATAAGAAACTACTTTAGCTTTAATTTTATAGCCAGGCCTATCATAGAAGTAGACAAATTGAATATTAGGTAACTGCACCATTCAGCAGGTGCTCTAACAAGGAAGGGATGTGACGGCAGCATGCTCTGTTTTCTACTCTAGCGTTCCATCAGTGACCCACCTAAGGGACTGTGATGGACTCAAAAGGTACAAAACGGGATAAGGAACTCTGCAGAAGGGGGTATGAATGTGACAGACAGATAGATACCTTACTTGGTTTGTAGTTTTCTGCAGCTCTCTTTACCTTGACTTTTACCCATTCAGATGGGGAGAAGGGGGTCAGATAGATACCATTTCAACTGTGCCTTCCAAGATGGTCTGCATTTTAAAACTAGAATATGGAAAAATAAAGTAATGAAGCACTTACATAACAAATAATGCTAAATTTGAAAATAAGGCTTATTTTGTGTATGGCCTGGGAATTCAGATTTGGAAAACATCTGTCTGTAACTTAATTCATGTTACATGCTTTAAAATTTGAAACTAATCTGGTGTTTGTCATATTATTTGTATTATCTTTAGAAAACCCTCCTTAAAAGACCTAGTTCGTTTTTTAAGTAATTATGCATTTATGTGTGTCTTGAAACTAGAAATTTAATTTTTGCCTCTGCATTTATCTTAATTTGGAAAACATTTATATGTAATAAAATTATGACATGAGATCAGAAAGCTCTGTTGTTAATCTTAATTTTTATAAATACATTTAAACTGCATTTCTCTTCCATTAAGCCCAGAAAGTAATCTTTAATGATTCATTCATGAGGACATTTTTAGTCTTGGCATAGATTTAAGTATATTTTACAGTCTAATTGTGAAAATGCAAATAAAATGAGGTAAAAACCAGATTAGTATTTTTATTTTACTTTTTAATAGTAATATTAGGTTGTAGTCTACTGATAATAGTAAAGAAATATGTTAATCTGATCGGACCTTAAGAATTTATATACTTAAAGAAGCATAACTTCCAGCAGAAAGAATTACTATTTATTTCAAATGAGCCCTCAGTAAAAGTGATAATTTATATATAAGCAAGTCAAAATCAAAATCAGCATTTAAAAGAAGAAAAGTAAAAAAAATAAAAAATAAAAAAATAAAATAAATAAAATAAAATAAAAGAAGAAAAGTGAGAGTATTTTAACATCTGAATAGCTTCTTCCATGAATGAAGAAAATTTAAGGTTTTTTCTCTCTAAAAACAAAACTTGTCAGGCAGTAATTACTCTTGATTGCTTAATGCCTTTTTCCTCATTCTAATATAATTTTAATTAAATTCTATTTTAATGGGTAAAGGAAAAAAAGCTTTTTTTTTTTTTTTAAAGAAAAATTAATGTGAGTCTTGGCCTGATTCTATATTTCAGTTAATTTAGGTAAGATACACAAATTTGTGATTTTTACATAGGATGTTTCCTCTTCAAATGTATACTTTGGAAATAGATAATATTCCTTTAAAGAAAACTCTAGAATCAGTATTTTCTTTGTTAAACAAAGAAATACAAATAACATTTCTGATCTTGGCTCTTAGAAATAAAACTTTTAACAAAAGAAACAAAATAAACTAGATTTGTTTTATCTTTAGAAAGCATGTAGGGAAACCTCATTTATGAAGTATGTACTTCTTAAAATGAAGATAATTACTGTTCCTGTTTGTAATTTAGATAAACCAAGAAAAGAAGTTAATAAACTGAGGGAGCATGAACGGTCCATCTCTCCACTACTTTTTGATGATAGTCCTCCTGATTTGCAGTCCCAAGGAAATCCTTTACAAGGGAACTCTGAGGAAGAGGATAATCCTCAAACACTCCAAAATTCGATTGTTTTTGGAACATCAGCTGAGGAAGTGGTAAAGGAAATTCGTTTCAGAATTGAGCAAAAAACAACACTAACTGCCAGTGCAGGTACTTAAAAGTGATTTGATGGCTGCCATATTAAGATTTTCAGACTAATCCAAGTATAATATTAATAGTTTCTCCTGGGATCCCTGGGTGGCGCAGCGGTTTGGCGCCTGCCCTTGGCCCAGGGCGCGATCCTGGAGACCCGGGATCGAATCCCACGTCGGGCTCCCGGTGCATGGAGCCTGCTTCTCCCTCTGCCTGTGTCTCTGCCTCTCTCTGTGACTATCATAAATAAATAAAAAAAAAAATTAAAAAAAAAATAGTTTCTCCTTATGAAGCATATAGTAAAGTTTTACTTATCCTTTTTGATTAAACTTCTGATGACTTTATTCAGAATACTGTGAACCTACAGGAAAATTGGAATTAAGCAGAAAAGCCTATGAGCCCAAAGAAAAGCACTATCATAAATCTCATGTAGCTATCCTTTTTAAAGCATGCAATATATTTTAATTGATTTAGGACATAATACTTTATTAGTTTTCCCTTTGAAGTGTTCAGCCCTGTCCAGGATTACAGGAGAGACCCCGGGTGACCACAAAGTAGGAGATAGAAGAAGTCCTAACTAGCAATCTAGAACCAGTTAGTGAAGGGAAAAGAGTTTACAAATGTCAGTAACCCATGAAGTTATCACTGTGTCTTGGCATAGAAACTGACATTCTTCATGAGGACCCTAAATTATTATGATTAGGTTAATCCTTTTTTTCTGTACCAAAGAGTGAGAATAAGTAATACATTTTAGTAGGATGTGTATAAAAATGGAAATGAATCATTTAATGATTGTATTTGGGTTTTTTAAAAAAGATTATATTGATTTGACAGAGAGAGAAAACACAACCAGGCGGAGGAGTAAGCAGAGGGAAAGGGAGACGCAGGCTCTCCGCTCAGCTCTGTCCCAGGACCCTGGCTGGCATCATGACCTGAGCCGAAGGCAGATGCTTAACCGACTGAACCAATTATCAATGAATTAAATTATCTTAATCATTGTGTCTCCTAGAAATTTTAAAACACCTTTCCGAAAAGTGCTAATTTGCTTTGTGAATAACATAAAAAGAGTACATCTATTTTATCATTGTCTTAAATATAATGGAACCTAGAATCTTTGAATTTTTTTCTTTATGTGATAATCTATACAAAAGACCTTTTCAAAGAGTAAACATCCATCCTAAATTATATTCTGGGTATTTTCTATTAGTCAGCCCTGTATTGCTACTAAAGATAGTATGTAAACTAATAATATCACTTAAACTTAGAAATTACTCTTAGACTTCAAAATAACATGGAGATTTAAATATTCTTCAGTCCTGCTACCACAATATCTATACAATTCCTTTTCCTAAAATCATATTGAGCCTTGGGAAGATAGGTAGTTATCAGATGTTATTTTTAAATTACCATTTCACATCATTTCAAGCGTTTTGCATTCATTCACCTTTTCTTTTTCTGTATTGTAGTATCATATTTTTAAATGATACCTGTCAACTTCTTTGAGTCATCAGAGTTCTCTTCTTTTAAGGCATTGCCCCAAATACAATGTTAGCAAAAGTATGCAGTGATAAGAATAAACCAAATGGACAATACCAAGTTCTCCCCAACAGACAAGCTGTGATGGACTTCATCAAGGACTTACCCATTAGAAAGGTGAGATTTTGTATAATATTTATATAAAATATAATTTTATTTATATTTAAACATAAACTATATAAGCATATATACATATACTGAAGAGATACTACTTAGAATGGTAGTAATAATTCTTTGCTGGAAAGTTTTGAAACAATAGGTAACGAGAAAGAAGTGTAATGGATGATTGAATTTGGATTTGAAGAAATCTTTCTATGAAACCCTAAAATTGAGGTTTAGGAAACTTGCTGCCAAAAAGTTTTAAGAAAGGAATAGTTGAAAGACTTTTAAGTGTACCTCTGCCAATAAGAACAGAAATAAAAAGAATACTTGTGGGGATCCCTGGGTGGCTCAGTGGTTTAGCACCTGCCTTGCGCCCAGGACGTGATCCTGGAGTCCCGGGATCAAGTCTTGCATCGGACTCCTTACATGGAACGTGCTTCTCCCTCTGCCTGTGTCTCTGCCTCTCTCCCTCTCTCTCTGTGTCTCTCATGAATAAATAAATAGAATCTTTAAAAAAAAAAAAGAATACTTGTAAGACTCCTTTCAGCTATAACTTAATATACTGAGTTCTAAAGTCTACATTGCTATCAGATTAATAGGTTTGATAATTCAAAAAGATGATGTAGAAATTTAATTGATTTTGGCCAAAAAAAAACAAAATACTGTACTATCTTTAAATGGTAAAACGAGGGGTTTTGGAAAGGTATGTTTTATTATTTTTTACAGCTTGTAGATTTTTTCTGCAAACATACGCTTTTTTAAAAACAATAATTGTACTACACTCTATTTAATGTTCTGGGGCTTGACTTTCTCATATCATGTATGTGAAATTTAAAGAGGAGTGAATTTAAATAAACATTTTTCAATGCTCAGAAGAAAAGCTATAACAGAGAATATAATGTATGATCACTAAGTAGTTTAAAATATGTATGATATAGCTATAAAGCAATGTTTTCCAGTGTGTTTTTCAAGATATGAATTAGGTGAATCCATTAAATAAGGTTCTGGGTTCAAAGAACTTTGGAACATACCAGCCTTAGTGATTTTATATTTGAGAGCAAGCAGCTGGGGCGACAGGCAGTGGGAGAGAGAAAAGCCGACTCCCTGCTGAGCACGGAGTCAGATCAAGGGCTGCATCCCAGGACCCTGGATCATGACCTGAGCTGAAAGCAGATAGTTAACAGACTGAGCCACCCAGATGCCTCTTTAATGCTTTTTAAAACTATGTGAAATGTAAAATTTAAAATTTCCATGCAACACTAGTTTAGGAAATGTGCCCAAAAATAAAGTAGTTTTCCAGTATGACTTGTGAAGATGGTCACATTATTCCAATAACCTCTTATAACCCAATAACCTCTTATTGGTTATAAAAGGTATAATCATATTACATATGTTCTTGCCTTAATGTAAAACTGTATTAATGATAAATATTGACTCTTTTCTAGGTTTCTGGAATAGGAAAAGTTACAGAGAAAATGTTAAAGGCACTTGGAATTATTACTTGTACAGAACTCTACCAACAGAGGGCATTACTTTCTCTTCTTTTCTCTGAAACATCTTGGCATCATTTTCTTCATATTTCCCTGGGTCTAGGTTCAACACACCTGGCAAGGTATCTATATGTATAGTCATTCTGTTTTTTCTTGATCATTTGGTGAAATAACAGTTTCAACCATTGACATGGAGGCTATCGGATAACATGTTTTTTGTTTGTTTTTAAAGATTTATTTATTCCAGAGAGAGAAAGAGTAGGAGGGGCAGAGGGAGAGGGAGAGAGAATCCTCAAACAGACTTGCAGTATGTGAGGCTAATGCAGGGCTTGATCCCAGGACCCCAAGATTATGACCTGAGCTGATACCAAGAGTCAGATGCTCAACTGACTATGCTACTCAGGAGCCCCTATAGAATAACATATTTAAAAAAAAATTTTAGGCTAGTTCATTCTAGAATATAATTTTTGAATTAGAATCAAAAGATTGGGGGATCCCTGGGTGGCGCAGCGGTTTAGCACCTGCCTTTGGCCCAGGGCGCGATCCTGGAGACCCAGGATCGAATCCCACGTCGGGCTCCCTGTGTATGGAGCCTGCTTCTGCCTGTCTCTCTCTCTCTCTCTCTCTCTCTCTCTCTCTCTCTCTCTCTCTGTGACTATCATAAATAAATAAAAATAAATAAAAAGATTGGAGGTGGGAGGAAAGGAAAAGAAGAACAAAGAATCAGTGTTTGGCTGTTGGCTGTAGCGATTGGTTAGGTAGACAAGAGGAATGATGAGTACTTTCTTTTCTGTACTTGCCTTGTGTTTTGTTCGGAATGTAAGACTAGTGGTGGTCTGATTGTTGAGGAAAGAAAGGTGCTCATATCCAGAATTTACCCTGTAGGCAAGGGGATTTAATGATTCTTTGAAAGCCTTCATGAGTTAGCTACATTTCTTTTCTTTTGTAGACTTGTAAATGATTGGCTGATTCATTCAATACTGAATACTTATTAGGTATTGTTCTAGGCACTGGAAAGAAGAGTAGGAAACAAGACAAAGTCTTGCCTTCATGGAGTTTGCAGAATAGTGTGGTGGAATAAGCCAATGAAGAAAGTAAGGGAGCAGAAAATGACTTGCGGAATAAGAGTGGGGTTGGCAGCCATGATCCAGGGGCAGGAACTTGAAGGGGCCACCACACAAAGATGTAGGAGAGGTCCTGTGATTCGTCCCTGCTGCTCTTTCACCTCCGTCTTAAAAAGAAGATCCTACAGCTCGAAGGGTACACTGTTGGGAGTGGGTGAAAAGAAGGGAATTTTTAAAAAGAATGGGAATTAACACTGGGCACTATTTTTAGAATTTTATCATCATCCTGTCAGCCTGCCCTCAGAATAATTCCTTTATATTCTTATATTTAAAGTAAGAGAAAACAGGAAGATTACTGAGGAGGCATAAAAATAATTTTGATAAAATAAACCTGCTAAATCTTACAGAGGTTGCAAGTACTGCTTTTCTCATCTTTCTGTGCTCCTCATTCTTTTTTTTAAGATTGTATGTATGTATGTATGTATGTATTTATTTAAGACACACACAGAGAGTGTATTTATTTAAGACACACACAGAGACTCAGAGACACAGGGAGAGGGAGAAGCAGGCTCCCCATGGGAAGCTCCATGTGGGACTCAATCCCAGAACCCCAGATTCACACCCTGAGTTGAAGGCAGATGCTCAACCACTGAGCCACCCAGGCATCCTGTATGCCCCTCATTCTTAAGCTCATAGTTAGCTGACTTTGATCTTGAGTGGCTATAATGGAAAGATCAAAGAAGGAAATCACACGAATATAAATAATCTAGTATTTGGAGGTAATGGGAAATAAAACCTTCTTCTTTAATCCCAGAATTATCCTCTTTTTAATTTCCATAGTGCTTGAAAACAATACGGTTCTTGATACAATATGGCATGTATTAACCTCTGGTATTTAAAGATGCAGGTGACACTGAGAAGTGAAATTCATGGGTAATTTATAATAATGTAAAAGAACAAACCTCCCTTGCCTTCTGTGTACCTTCTCTATTCCAATATTCTGCTTTATTTTTTAATCTGTAATACTTCTAACCTTCTGACATACTCCATATTTACTTCTATCTTGGTTTATTTATCTCCCTCCACTAGGATATGTTTCTTACGGATAGGAACTTGGTCTGTTTTGGTCATAACCGTATACCCAATGCCTAGAATAGTACTTTATTCCTAGTAGGTCTGTTGAATATGTGGAGAATGTCATGTCACATTGTCATTTCAGCTTTTTAGTATCAACTACTTCTATCCAAACAGCTAGAATTCAACCAAACTAGATGGTTCAGATTCTGAATCCCCATCCTAATACTGTATCCAAATTCTGAGGGTCTATAAATCTATAGTAAATAGCTGTAGGACAGCAAAGTTAATATTCTAAGCCAAAAACTAAGTAATTGATATTTAATTATATCATATAACTGCAAGCCATTACAGTACTCTTATTGGTTTTTATAAGTTGTGGTTTTTATATTCACACTTTTAATACAAGTAGTTTATAATCTCAACCTATTTTCAGATTTGTTCTCTTTGATAGATATAGACTTGATTAATTAGCATCTATCTCTTTTTTGTTGATAGTTTTATTTTGATATTTTAAAAACTCATTGTTTTTCCTGATATATAAATTTTAACCAAAACATTAAGGAGATCCTTAAGTGATAATTGAGATGTTAAACCCTCTTACTTGACTAAAGAGAATTAGTCTTCTTTGAGAAAGCAACAAAAACTTTTTTTTTTTTTTCATTTCAAGGGATGGAGAAAGGAAAAGCATGAGCGTTGAGAGGTAATGTTTTATTATTTATTCATAATTCATGTTATTTTAAACTAATTTTTTATATTTTTAGTAAAATATCACTGAGATGGAAAAATCTATTTGCAAACCAAATGACATTTTTCAGTAGTTGACATTACTAACCTAAGTATTCCATTACAATGCTTTATTATCTTTGCTTGCTATGCTCTCCGTGGGAAAAAAATTTAACTGAAGTAATTTTTTTTTAATGTTGGTTTCCTCCTATTCAATGAAAACCAAGCATCTCTGGATTCTAAATCTTAATTTCTAGCTTTGTTTATAAGAAAAATTACTGAGTGTTATTTGGGAAATTTAAGAAGGGACCACATAAATTCTTCCTAAAACTCTTCAAATGTTGGTCAAGTAGTAAGATATTGATGAAAGTGAGCTTACAGGAGTTGTAGTTCAATGGTTTACAATCTTGTTTGGAAAATAAATGAAATCTTGACGAGACTGTTGTTTTCTGAAATATGTCATTGTTTGAGAAGTCCCTAAATTATTTCCTCCAAACACCAAAGTTCCACTGTGATAGATGTTTAAGAACCACTGATCTAGTACAAGGTTGTGTTCCTTTTCACATACATTATTTTTTTCGAGTTTATTTATTTACTTATTTAAAGAATTTTTTTTTAAATGTTATTTATTTGACAGAGTGAGGGTGAGCAGGGAGAGCAGCAGAGGGAGAGAGAGAGAAGCACTCTCCCCGCTGAGCAGGGAGCCCATGTGGGGCTCCATCCCAGGACCCTGGGATCATGACCTGAGCTGAAGGCAGATGTTTAACCTACTGAGCCATCCAGTCGCTCCTTATTTATTTATTTTTAGTAACCTCTCTACCTAGGGTGGGGCTCAAACTCATGACACTGAGATCAAGAGCCAACTGAACCAGCCAGGAACCCCTCACATACACTATTTTTAATCAGAAAAGTTGAATTACTTTTACAAGGCAACATGATCAGTAAATGACTTTGAAAACATTGTTGTTTTAGGCTGTGGTTTACATAAAAGGAAAAGAGGAGGAAGAAGATTCCAAAAGTGAGATAGTACTGCCCTATTTAATGAATTTTTTCTTCCATTTTATCTTTTGTTATTGAGAACATTGCTTAGCATACAATAATATTAATATTAACTATATTAATATTTTTAAGAAAGGGCCAACAGAATGGGAAAAGATATTTGCAAATGACATATCCAATAAAGAGTTAGTACCCAAAATATATAAAGATCTGATACAACTCAACACCCCTAAAATGAATAATCTAATTAAAAATGGACAGAAGACATGAATAGACATTTCTCCAAAGAAGACATACAGATCGCCAACAGACACATGAAAAGATGATCAACATCATTCGGCATCGGGCAAATACAAATCAAAACCACAGTGAGATCCCGCCTCACACCTGTCAGAATGGCTAAAATCAACAACACAAGAAACAACAGATGTGATCAACAACCGTTCCATATATTACTCAGTATTCATCAAATAGGTATACTCTAAATCAGCATCACCTATTTCACCCATTCCCCTACCTATCTCCCTTCTGGTAACCCATCTGTTTGTTCTCTATAATTAAAAGTCTCTTTTTTCATTTTTCTCTTTTTTTCCCCTTTGTTTCTTAAATTCCACATATGAGTGAAATCATACAGTATCTGCCTTTCTCTGACTTCTTTTGCTTAGCGTTATACTCTCTAGATCCCTCCATGTCTTTGTAAATGGCAAGATTTCTTTTTTTTTAATGGCTGAATAATGTTATATGTATTTACATACCACATCTGCCTTATTGATTCATCAATCGATGAACACTTGGGCTGTTTCCATAGTTTGGCTATTGTAATAAACATCAGGGTGCATATACCCCTTTTCAGGTTCTTTGGGTAAATACTCAGTAGTGTGATTACTGTATCATAGGGCATTTCTATTTTTAATTTTTTGAGGAGCCTCCATACTGTTTTACAGAGTGGCTGCACCAGTTTGCATTCTCCCCAGCAGTGCAAAAGGGTCCTTTTTCTCCACATCCTTGCCAACACTTGTTTCTGAGTCTTTGATTTTAGCCATTGTGATAGGTGTGAGGTGATATCTCATCTTAGTTTTGATTTACATTTCCCTGCTGAGTGATGTTGAGCATCTTTTCATGTGTCTTGGTTATCTGTATGTCTCTAAGAAAGATCTGTCTATGTCTTCTGCTCATTTTTTAATGGGATTATTTGGTATTTTGGTATCGAGTTGTCTCATTCTATATATATCTTGAACACTCACTCTTTTTCAGACATGTTATATGCAAATATCTTCTCCCATTCTGTAGGATGTCTTTTGGTTATGTTGGTTGTTTCCTTTGCTGTGCAGAAGCTTTTTATTTTGATGTAGTCCCAAATAGTTTATTTTTGCTTTTGTTTCCCTTGCCTTGGAAGACATATCTAGAAAGATGTTATGACCAATGTCAGAGAAATTACTGCCTGTGCTCTTTTCTAGGATTTTTATGACTTCAGGTCTCATATTAGGTCCTTAACCCATTTTGAGTTTATTTTTGTGTATGGTATAACAAGATGGTCCATTTTCATTCTTTCGCATGTAGCTGTCCAGTTTTCCCAACACCATTTGTTGAAGAGACTTTTTCCCATTGTGTATTCTTCCCTCTGTTGTTGAAGATTAATTGACCATTTAATTGTGGGTTTATTTCTGGGCTTTATCCTCTCTTGCATTGATCTTGTATTTATTTTTGTGCCACTACCATACTGTTTTGATTACTATAGCTCTGTAGTGTAACTTGAAATCTGGAATTGGGATACCTCCAGCTTTGCTTTTCTTTTTGTAGATTGCTCTGGCTATTTGGGGCCTTTTGTGGTTCCATTACAAACTTTAGGTTTGTTTGTAATAGTTCTGTGAAAAATGCTTTTAGTAGTTTTTTGGATTTTATGTAAATTCAAGTTAGTTAACATATAGTGTATTATTAATTTCAGGGGTATTATTTAGTGATTCATCAGTTGCGTGTAATACTCAGTGCTCATTACATCAAGTGCCCTTCTTAATGTCCATCATTCAGTTACCCCAGTCCCCACCTACCTTCTCTCCAGCAGCCCTCAGTTTGTTCCCTATAGTTAAGAGTGCTATTGGTATTTTGATAGAGATTGCATTTAATCTGTAGATTGCTTTGGGTAGTATAGACATTTTATCAAAAATTGTTCTTCCTGTCCATGAGAATGGAATGTCTTTCCATTTGTTTGCATCATCTTAATTTCTTTTACAAATGCTGTGTAGTTTTCAGAATACAGGTCTTTCACCTCTTTGGTTAGGTTTATTCCTAGGGATTTTATTATTTTTGGTTTAATTACAAATGGGATTGTTTCCTTAATTTCTCTTTCTGTTGGAATATTAGTGTATAAAATTCAATGGGTTTCTGTACATTGATTTTTGTATCCTGTAATCTTACTGAATTCATTCATCAGTTCTAGTAGTTTTTTGGTGGAATCTTGGGTTTTCTGTATATGGTATGGTTTTATTTGCATATAGTGAAAGTTTTACTTCTTCCTTACCAATATGGGTGCCTTTAATTTCTTTATGTTGTCTAATTACTGTGACTAGGACTTCCAGTACTATGTTGAATAAAGTGGTGATAGTGGACATCCTTGTCTTGTTACTGACCTTAAGGAAAAGGCTCTCAGTTTTTCCCCATTGAATATGATGTAGCTGTGGGTTTTTCGTATAAGGCCTTTCTTATATTGAGAAATGTTTCCTCTAAACCTACTTTGTGGGGAGTTTGAATCGTGATTGGATGTTATACTTCGTGAAATGCTTTTTCTGCATCTATTGAGATGATCATATATTTTTATCTTTTCTCTTATTGATTTGTTATCTCATTAATATGAGATGATCATGTTTTTTATCCTTCCTCTTAGTGATGTGATATATCAGACTTTAATCAACTTAAAAAAATATTATAGATAAAGCAAATATACCTTTGCTAATTAGACTATAAATGGTCTTCAATTATTTAGGTAGATTTTTAGATGTTTTTAATTATATCTTAGTGCATCTGAAAATTTTATTTTGTACTACAGAAAATATAACTTGATGCTAGGCTGTTTAAACAAACTATATCATTCCTAAATTATAGTTTATGCACCAAAATCATTCTTGTCTTTCTAGGACATTCAGTGAGATAAGTAAAGCAGAAGAACAGTATAACTTGTGCCAGGAACTTTGCAGTGAACTTGCTCAAGATCTGCAGAAGGAAGGACTAAAGGTACTTTATTTTAATGTGGTATTCTTAGATTTTTTTAATTTTTGATAGTAAAATGCGACCATAAAGGAAGAGTTAGGTTTTGCATTTGAGTACAAACTGAGAAACATTAGAAAGGAATATTCCCATCCTCAGTAGAGACAAATTCAATTCTGACCCATAATTGAGGCCTGTGATAAGATCATTCAGTGAAGAAGCAACGTACAAGGGTGGGCTGGCTCCAGACTAACTCCAGAGTTATTACTACTTCAGGAGTACATTTGAATAAATTCAAAATCAGTTATACTGATATTAGAGAATAAGACAAAGTTAAGGATGTCTCTAGAACTTTATTTGCTTATTATAAATTTCTTTCCTACCATACTTTAATGTTTTTCTCTGGTGGACAATGACTTTCTAGAATAGACGCTTGGTTTCAAGGCCCTAGTTTCATGTTGTTTAACACATTCAGAACAAAACCTGGAAGGCTTTAAATTTCTGTTTTATAATCTTTACTCAAAACAGTCCATATTTAATATTTTTCCAAATTCTGAAACCATAGGTGGAGTTACTACAAAGTGTGATACAAAGGTATTCAAAAGTTATTACAAAAATATTTAAAAACCAGTAAAGGTTATTACAAAGAATGGAACATCTATATATTTCTTTTTTTTTCTACCTCCCTTCTGCATACATTTCTTATAACTCTTCTCTCTTATACCTTACATAGAGTTGATTTAAACAAAATTTTAATAAACCTGTCATTTTAGAATCATTTAAGATTTACAGAAATGTAGTAAAGATAATATAGAGAGTTCTGATATACCCAGTTTCACTCATTATTAACATACTATTTTAGCTATATTGTCATAGTACATTTGTCAAAGCTCAGAAATTGACTTTAGCATATTGCTATGACTAAACTCCAGATGTTATTTGGATTTTACCTGTTTTTCCATTAATGCCCTCTTTCTGTTGCAGGGTTCAGTCCAGGGAACCACATTGCATTTAGTTGTCATGTCTCCTAATCCCCTTTAATCTTTAACAGTTTGTCAGTATTTCCTTGTTTTTCATGATCTTGATGTCTTAAGGAGTATTAACCAGGTATCCTGGAGGGTGTCTTTCCATCTAGGTTTGGCTGATGTTTTTCTTATGATTAGACCAGGGTTAAGGATTTTTAGAAAAAATACCAGAGGTGAAGTGTCCTCATTACATTCTATCAAGGTGTATGGTAACTACAAGTTATCACAAGTGATACTAACCTTTGTCACCTAAGTTGGTGTTTCCTAGGCTTCTGAACTGTGAAGTCACTATTTTTTCCTTTCCATATTCTCTTCTTTGGAAGTGAGTCAGTAAGTCAGCCCACTCTCAGAACTTCCAGAAGGTAGTAAAATATATTTTATTTTAACCATTTTTAAGTTACAATTATGTGCATATGGTGCAACCATCACCACTGTGAATCTCCAGAGCTTTTTCATTATCCCAAACTTAAATTCTGTATCCATTAAACAGTAACTGTAAAGGGAGTTCTTACATGTAAGTGGGTTAGCATAGTATTTGGCATATAGTTGGCACACAGTAAGTGTGAGCTATCTGCAAGACCCTTTCAATGGAGACCTCTTTAAGAAGCTTTTTTTTCCCTCTCTTTTTAGGTACTGAATTCTAAAAGAGACTTAGTAAAAAGAAAAATGATCACTTCATGTTGCCATTTATATAAAAACTTCTTTTATAAAAACTCATTTGAGTAGGGGAGTAATAATTATTGGCTAAAATGGAATTTTTAAATTACTTATATATCTCAGTTCTTTTGGATAGATTTCATTACCATGTTTTATAAATAATTGATTATACTTCTATAGTATATGTATATATCTTTCTGATTTTTTTCTAAACTACAAAATAACTATTTTCTAGAAGTTAGAAAACTGCATATTACGTATTCTGTTTGTTACAGGGTAGAACTGTTACCATTAAACTGAAGAATGTAAATTTTGAGGTAAAAACTCGTGCATCTACAGTTTCATCTGTTGTTTCTACTACAGAAGAAATATTTGCTATTGCTAAAGAGTTGCTAAGAACAGAAATTGATGCTGATTTTCCACATCCCTTGAGATTAAGACTTATGGGTATGACTTTTCTTGTTTTTTTTCTTAAATCTGCTAGACTTTCCCAAAGAAATCAACTTGGGAAGTATTCTGTCCTTCATTTTATTTCTTAAACCTATTTAGGAGGTTGTACCTATACTTCTGTTTTTCTTAATTCTTAGAACCTGATGTATGTGAAACCATGCTCATTAATTTAATTCCCATAAGAACCAACTGCAGTTATTCTTTTCCTTGCCACTTACTGAAATTCTTGGGACTACGTATGTTTCAAAATTTAAAACTTTTCAGATTTTCTTTTTTTTTTTTTTAAGATTTTTATTTATGTATTCATGAGAGACACAGAGAGACAGAGAGAGAGAGAGGCAGAGAAACAGGCAGAGGGAGAAGCAGGCTCCATGCAGGGAGCCCGATATGGGACTTTATCCCAGATCCTGGGATCACACCCTGAGCCAAATGTAGACGCTCAACCACTGAGCCACCCAGGCGTCCCTCACACTAATATTTTTGTAGCAAAACAAGAGAATATTCACACTAAGTTGGAAAGACTCTAAATAGCCTCATATCAATTCAGACATCTTATATTTATTGCTTATGATTTTCAGAGCTTTTTAAATTTCAGAATTACAGACATGGGATTGTCACAATACAAAACCATACCCTACAGCCACAATGTAAACAAATAAACAAACCAACTTCCTAAAGTGAACCGGGTGAGAGGATGTATGTACATGGATAAGCATTCCAGATGCCAACTTTACTGCTAAGACTGAATCATTAGCTATACTTTCATATATGAAACATAGCACACGCTTGTAATTGGTTGAATAAAGTATGTTGATTAAAAGAGCTAAACAGCAGATGTTTATAATAGCTTCATTCATAACTGCCAAAATTGGGAAACAACCAAAATGTCCTTCAGTAGTAGGTGAATGGAAATTGGGACAGAAAATGGAATATCTTTCAGTGTGTAAAAGAAATAAGCTATCAAGCCATGAAAACACATGGAGGAACCTTAAATGTATGTTATTACGTGAAAGAAGCCAATTTGAAAGGTTAAATACTGTGTGGTTCAAACCCTATGACATTCTGGAAAAGACAAAACTGTGAAGATAGTGAAAGGATGAGTGGATGTCAAAGATAGGGGATGGAGAAGGGATGAATAGGTGTAGCACAGAGAATTTTTAGAACTGTGAAACTATTCTGTATGATGCTATAATGGTGGCTACATATCATTAAGCACATGTCAAAGTCCATAGGATGTACAACACCATGAATAACCCTAATGTAAACTATGGACTTTGAGTATTAATGTTGTGTCAACACAGAGTCATCGTTTGTAACAAACATACCCTTCTGGTGCAGGATGTTGATTGGAGGAGGCTTTGCATGATGTGGGCAGAGGATATGTAGGACCTCTGTACTTTTTTGTTCACTTTTGCTGTAAACCTAAAATTGCTCTAAAAAACAAAGCCTACTGGGAAAAAAGAGCTAGAGTGTGTGAAGTTGACTCCAATTAATTGGTATTTAATGGTATCTTGTGTCAGATATTAGTTGAAAGACATATAATCATGCCAACTCCCAACAGATACTATTTAGTGATATCCAGTTTGATAAAGGAAAGTAAGTTTCATGCAAAGTACTTATTTTGAAAAAGCATACTTTAATTCAGAAAATAATGCAGTATTGCTTATTTTTCGATAAACATAGTTTTGTATATATGTCATAACAGTATTATGCAAAATATTTTTATGGATTATGAGTGAAATGGCTTTGTTACAAAATTAATTGTGGTTGATTTTTTTTAGGTGTACGATTATCTAGTTTTCCCAATGAAGAAGACAAGAGACACCAACAAAGGAGCATCATTGGCTTCTTACAGGCTGGAAACCAATCTCAGTCAGCCCCTGGGTGTATACTAGAGAAAACTGACAAAGATCAGTTTCTAAAATCTTTAGAAATGTCTCATAAGAAGAGTTTCTTTGATAAAAAGCGATCAGAAAGGAAATGGAGCCACCAAGACACATTTAAATGTGAAGCTGTGGATAAGCAAAGTTTACAGACATCACATTCATTTCAAGTTTTAAAGAAGAAGATGAACGAGAATCTCGAAACATCGAAGAATTCAAATAACTCTCAGATATTTACTTGTCCCATTTGCTTTAGAGAGCAAAGAAGCATCAGTCTAGAAGCCTTTAATAAACATGTAGATGCATGTCTTGATGGACCCTCAATCAGTGGAACCTCTAACGTGTTCTCACATTCACATGCTTCCTCTACAGAAGTTAACAAGAAAGAAAATGTATATCCTTCTTTCTCACAGAGTGAGAAACAGGATTATGAAACCCATCAGAGGAATTCAGAAATCAATTTTATAGAGCTACCAGAGACTGAAGATAACCCAGCTAAAGCAGAAAGTGTAGATGCTTTAAGTGATAAGCACAGCAAAGAGGAATGTGCTAGTCTTCCAAGTAAACCATTTAATATTGAGAAATGTTGTGAGAATTCTTCCTCTACTGTTTCATTGGAAGATATTGCGTCATTAAGTCAGCAAGAATCCTCCCAGCCTTATTTACAAGCTCTAGTTTGTCCTGTTTGTAACCTAGAACAAAAGACTTCAGATCTTACCCTGTTCAATGTGCATGTGGATGTGTGCTTAAATAAGGGCATTATCCAGGAACTGAGAAAGGATAAAGTTAACCTAGCTAACCAACCCAGAGAAAACACCAAAAGTACTGGTGAGTTTGCAGTCGTTTTTTTTTTTTTTTTCAATTTTATTTAAATTTAGCTAATTAACCTATAATATATTATTTGTTTCAGAGCTAGAGTTCACAGTCATTTTAAAGAAAGTGATTTTCTAAGACTGTTTTATTAAAATAAAATTGAGATTGTTGTTAAATTTAAAGCACGTACTGTTAAAGGGATAGGTTGTGTACACTGCCATTTAGGGAAATGTTAGTTACCTTAGCATAGGTTAGAATTACCTGAAGCCATTAGATTTTAAATTTGGGAAAACTATTCTAGGCTTGATTTAGCACAGAATGAACTCAGAGGTTGAGGGAGCTGAGTAATCTAACCAAAGGCAAAATTCCTATAGAATAAGTAAGTCACAGGGATAAATGGTACAGCATAAGGAATATAGTCAGCAGTATTATAATAGCACTATATGGTGACAGACGGTTCCTCCATTTGTGGTGAGGATAAGCGTAATGTATGAACTTGTTAAATCTCTATGTTGTGCACCTAAAACTAATATAGCATTAAATTATCTCAACTATACTTCAATTAAAAAAAAAAAAGTCCTTCAGAGAACTTTTGCCAAGGAGTGGTAAATAACTATAATCACACAGCCAGAAAGCCTCTCTAACTTGTTTTTTGGTAGTCCAACTGAAGACCAACTTCAAAATTAAAATTAAAAAAAACAAATTAAGAGAAATACTAATAAGTAAATTACAAAGAAATTATGCAATAAAGTTATTTTTTGATATGTCTCAATATGAATTATATAGTACTAAAGGAGTTTTTATTATCTCTAATCAGTCAGCTTTAGCTTTTTATACAGCATTTTAATTATTTCATGTTGTTCATTATGGAATTTCTTGACTTTTCTTCCTCTAAAGATAACTCAGGCAGAGTGCAGAAGACTGCAACAAAACCAAAAAGGTATGGCTAATTTGAGTTTTAACTAAGCTGGCTATAAAATTGTTATATTCTTAGGTCTAATTTATAGATGTTGAAATTTGTTCTTATGAACCAAGTAAAATTTTAAAACTCAGTGATTTGTAAAACATTTTAAAAATACCTTCCTGCATTTTAACTGTGTGTTCTTTTCTATTTCAGGCCGGGATTGATGACAAAGTACTCAGCATCAAAGAAAACAAAACCAAACAATTCCAGACACACTCTTGATGTATTTTTTAAATGAACATTGAACATTTTCTCACTGAACGTTTTATTGATAGAAACTTGTTATTTTATAATCAATGAATCTCTTCTTCTTCATTAAGTTTATGGATTCATGTAGTCAAAGGCAAGTGCAATAATTCCTCCCCAAATGACATTTCCTTTATATGAATTTGGAATATGTACTAATTAACTTCTGTAAACACCTTTGGGATAACCGTGAGAATTTCACTTCTATTATATATCAATCAGAAATCGGTCCTGTTAGAGATGATTTTAAAATGAGAAATTAGGAATGGAATCAGAAAGTGATTTGTTTCTTTATCATGTTTTATAGTGAATATAAAAACATATTTTTAAGAATATATTTATAAGAGCTCTCAGGTTCACACAAACCTAGTTTAGCATAAGAATTTTTCAGTACTGGGATCCCTGGGTGGCGCAGCGGTTTGGCACCTGCCTTTGGCCCAGGATCGAATCCCACGTTGGGCTCCCGGTGCATGGAGCCTGCTTCTCCCTCTGCCTGTGTCTCTGCCTCTCTCTCTCTCTCTCTCTCTCTCTCTCTTTCTCTCTCTCTCTCTCTCTCTCTCTGTGACTATCATAAATAAATAAATAAAAATTTTAAAAAAAAATAAGAATTTTTCAGTACTGAGCCACCTGGGTGGCTTAGTGGGGTAAGGTTAAGCATCTGATTCATAAGGGGTTCTGAGATCAAGCCCTGCATGGAGCTTTGTGCTCAGTGGGAAGTCTGCTTGAGAATTTTCTTTCTCTCCTTCTGCCCCTCCTCCTGCTCATGCTTGCACTCTATCTCTCTCTTTTTCTGTGTCAAATAAATTTTTAAAAATCTTTTTTAAAAAAAAGAATTTTTTAGCACTGAGCCACTTTATTGGTACTGGACCAGTATATTTGTTTTAGTAACTTCTACGACTTTGTATATTCATATTTTAGCTCCTAGTATCTTCAGATATCTCATGAGCATTCATAATTAAAATTTATCATAAGTTCTATGAAGAATATTAGCTTGGCAGAACAAGGATGAAGGTCTTGTTACCTTCAGGAAAATAGTATCAGAGTATTATTTTCTGTGTTAAAAGAATTGTTTAAAATAGGATTATCCATTTGATTTTTTTTTTTACTTAGAATTCCTTTAGTTTATGAGTAAGCACATGGTTCACTTTAAAAAATATTTAGTCTAAGATTCAAAGCAATTAAATTTCTTTGTAGGTCTTTAAAATGGTGATATTTCATTTCTTGAGAATATCTCATTTATTTTACTTATATTTCTATCATATTTTTATTAATATTTATGAAAGAAGACAGTAGCTTCAGTAGTTACTCCAAATACTTTTGTGCTATTAATACAATTTTTTTTCAAAAAACAATTATTTAATGGAAACATGAAGATGGAAGCCATTTTCTTTTACTCCTTTAAGGAACTGAATTTTTCGTCTCATATTTTTGTTTTTTCTTTTCCTACTTTTCATATTTTATAGCTCATTATCTAAATTTATGAAGACATAGTATTTTAGGAATAGGTTAAATTAGGATCTTACACAGCCTTTGGCCAAAGTGGTAACTTGACTTGAAATTCCTAGATTGTTTAAAATTAGGTTTAATATTTATTTGCATGCCCAGTCTTAGGCCTAATATTATCATATGCTATGGTGAATTCAGAGTTGTAGAGCTGTGGGTCTTGTGTGATTTGTGTATCTAAAGTCTACAAAATCAAGTTCAGTGAAGTACTGATTTAATGCATTGAAAAGTTAACAGCATCATATTTAGTTGTTCCTGTCTTGCCTCAGGTTTATTTTTATTGCGTTCTCAACTTTAGAGTAAATGGGAAATTATTTTCATTTAAATGATTCATATAATTGAATGTTAGTTAGTAATGTTTAATAATAATTTAAAATAAAAGTGGATGTGTTAAATTGATCTTTTAACCAGTAAAAATGGTTTCCTTACTTTTCTACTCTTTTCCTACTTCTGATTCTTTCTCTTTGATCCTCTTTGCCCAGAATTCTCTCCATATTCTTTTCTGTTTTATCTAATGTATCCAACTCATCTACTTTTGTTTTTGTTACTGTTATTTTTGGTGAGTAAACCAATAGAGTTTTATTAAGTGAGGATACAGAGTAAGCTCTCAGAAGTGAGAGGGGTCCCAACAGGCTTGCCCCAACTCATCTACTTTGTATTATGATTTTGCTTTGAGGTATTTTTAGGAAGTACAGCAAAACTACAAAGAACAAGCATCTATGATCTTACCTACTCAAAAGGTGAAAATACAGAGAATCACCTGGGAGAACATATTTGTGACATAAGTAACTTGCCCAAAACTAGTATCCAGAATGTATAACCTAGAAGATATAAATGACTCCTATATATTAGTAAGAAAAAGACAAATAGCCAGTAGAAATTTGGACAAATGACTTTAAGTGTCACTTTACGTAAAAAGAAATCCAGACTGCCGGGAAACATGAAAACATTCTCAGCTATATTAGTCATGGGGAAACGAAAAATAAAACCACAAAGAGGTATCATTACATCCCTACCAGATTCATAAAAATGAAAAAAATCCAGTTATTAAATTTTGGTGATGATATGGAATAATGTGAACTCAACTTTGAAAACAATCACTTTAGAAAACAGTTTTCTCTTCTTCAGTATGTTTGAGGATGTGTACATTTAACAACCCAACAATTGCACTCTTAAATAAACTCCTTTGCTGGTTATCTTCCATTTGTTTTCCAGATTTACTATTGACCCTTGACTCAGCTTTATGTCCAGTAAGGGGCTGTGACAGTGGGAAACCTACAGATTTCAGGGAGAAAAGAAGATGAAGTTGGGTATTTTATTCCCACATGTACCTTTTTATATGATCATCTAGAGCTGGTTTAGTCTCTCCTCGGGTTTTTTTTTTTTTTAAGTTTTGTTTATTTAAATAATCTTTGCATCCAATGTCAGGCTCCAACTCACAACCCTGAAGTCAAGAGTCACACGCTCTTCTACCCGACACAGCCAGGTGCCTCCTCTCTTCAGGTTCTGATAATCCTTTCCTTCCTTCACCCCTTCAGCTTAGGGGTAGCGACAGAGCATTGTTCTTATTAGTTTTGGGGTGCTGCAGTATCTCTTGTGGTCTTCTCACACCTTTGTAAATGGCCTTTTAAAAAAACTCATCTCGGGATCCCTGGGTGGCGCAGCAGTTTAGCGCCTGCCTTTGGCCCAGGGCGCAATCCTGGAGACCCGGGATCAAATCCCACATCGGGCTCCCGGTTCATGGAGCCTGCTTCTCCCTCTGCCTATGTCTCTGCCTCTCTCTCTCTCTCTCTCTCTCTCTCTCTCTCTCTCTCTCTGTGACTATCATTAATAAAAATTAAAATAAAATAAACTCATCTCAAAATATAATTTTTCCTTCCAGAGCCCTGATACAATGTCTCGGGAAAACTACTGAACACCTTCTTTAGGAAGTATGTACAAGAATGCTCCTAGCAGCACTATAATAGCAAAAAATGGGAAACAAATATTAATTTAATTCTACCATTATATATTCATATATATTCAAGGAATAGAATTCTGTACAGTGGAAAAAATGAAGGAAATAGCTAATCAGAAAGTAGAGGAATATCATTGGGTGGTTCAGTCAGTTAAGTGTCTGACTTAGGTTCAGGCCATGATCTCAGGGTCCTGGGATTGAGCCCTGCAGTGGGCTCCCTGTACAGGAGGGGGAGTCTGCTTATCCTGCTCCCTCTGCCCCTCCCTCTACTTGCATGCCCTCATGCTCTCTCTCCCTCTCCCTCCCTCTCTGAAATAAAATCTTTTAAAAAAAAAGAAAAGAAAGTAGATGAACATCACGAACACTCTGGAGTAAAGCATGAATACATTTATATAAAGTTCAAAGCATTTGAAACTTGTCTTAAGGATTTATTCATATGAAATAAGATTATTAAGAAAAGCAAGTGTGTTATTGTCCTGAAAGTTAGAATAGTGATTTCTTCTGTGGGGAGATAGGGAAATGTGATTGAGGAATGCTACACAGAGCTGATGGGATGCTGACAGTGTTCTCTTTCTTGGATGGTTGATTGCATAAAGGTTTACCTTAAAAATATTCTTTAAATTGCACATGTACCTTTTATATACTCTTGTTCATATGTGACCCAAATCATGATAAAAGCCAGTTCACAAAATTACTGAAAATTTAACAACCTGCACTTGTAAGCCAATACAAGCTAGCCCCCACATATCATTGTCCATGATACATGCCAAACACAAGCTTGGCATTCAAGGCCAATCCAGTCACACTGCATAGCTTATAGTTTTCTGAATAGACCAAGCTATTTCTCCCTTCTGGTATGGTGCTTGGTTGCTCCCTGTCTCCAGAATGTGCTTCCTGAATGCGCCTTTGCGTGCTCTCCCACCAAACACAACTATTCATCTTTCAATTCAGCCCAGGAGCCACCTTCAGGAGAGAGTCCCTGCCCTCTGGAAAAACTGGTCACTCCCTTGTTCTATTTCTCTGTGAGGACACCAAAACATTCTTTGCTGTGGCTTTGCTGCAGTCTTGACCCACTAGATTTTAGGATGATCCTGGACTATTTCACTGATCTCTGAATTCTAAGTGTGAAGTATATGGCCTGGCACTTAGTGTTACTATTGACCTATAAATGAATAAATTGTATGTAACCAGAGTGGTATCTATTACTATCTTCTTGTCTTCCTCTGGGAAGAAAGGGTGATGGCTGATGTAGGTGGCTGCTCTCACACTGGGCCCTTAAGGGTTGGGCCTTCCAGAACATTTCTTTCCCTTTTTTGGATAATGGCTTGCTTTATAAATGTTTTATTACTAAAGCATTTTGGGGTGGCTTGGAAGTATTTGGAAGAAAGCTCCAAAAAGTACTATTTAACGAAAGGCTAAAAAATGCTTTTTGAGGAAATATTCCATTTTGGAAATTGTACTCTGTCCCTAGTGCTGACTTTTTAAAAGTTAATATTCCATTTTGAAAAGTAGCACTAGATTTGAACATACCTGGTGCTGGTAGGGTTTTAGTGAACTTCACAGAGCTCAGTGGTGTTTATTTCCCTAGAGCAAAAAGACTGTCCTTTTGTTGTATAATTAAGGGATAACCACTTCTGCTTTGTAATACAAAGCAAAACAGTTGGGTTAACAGTTGTTCAAGAAAAACTCAAAAAAAAAAAGACTCAAATGTTATTATGGTAAGTATTGAGTATAATTCCATTTGTTAAGCAAACCTAATATTGAACTATTCTCCTTACAAATGTGAGGTAATTTATGACAGTCTTTGTTTCTTTTTATTGATAGTCTTATTTGTAATTGTTGCTTAAAGAGACACAAGAAACTTCAAATAGTGTTACACTTTATTGCTAACCCCAGTATCTTAAATTTATTATAATTTCAAACTCAATACAGGGACGCCTGCTCAGCGGTTGAGTATCTGCCTTTGGCTCAGGTCTGATCCCGGGTCTTGGGATGGAATCCCACACTGGCCTCCCCGCAGGGAGCCTGCTTCTCCCTCTGCCTATGTCTGCCTCTCTCTCCCTCTCTGTCTCTCATGAATAAATAAATAAAATCTTAAAAAATAAAAGAACAAAATAAAAGGCACGATCTATGCCAAAGCCTGGCCTATTACTGAATTCTGTCTACCCTTGTAGGACCTCTTGACCCAGGGCGTGATCCTGGAGACACAGGGAGCCCGACGCGGGACTGGATCCCGGGACCCCAGGATATCTCTTTAAACCAGCATATGGATTGGCAAGAAATCAAAGTGTCATATGTATGGACCATGCTCTCCCAATATTCTTAGGCCTCTCTGTGTGTGGGTCAGTTCTGGGGTCGAACCTAGTTATGTTTTTTGAAGGCTTAATTTTTTTCACTCATAGAATGTGCTAAGCTTCTATCTGACCCCGAGACCATGCACAGTCCTGAGACGTGCCCTGGTTTTACTTGATTCTGTGACACACTGAGCTCCCCGTGCTTGGGTGCTGCGGATTCAGTGCAGAGATCCCGACTGCCCTTCAATATTCTACTTTTAATATTATTACAATTTTAGCTAGGCACATGGTTGCCCAGAATACAGTATTTAATAAGTCTTTATAAACCGCTAAAGAAAAGTGCCCAAGATGGGCGTCAAAAGGAGACACCGAGGGGCGGCCGGGGCCTGAGCCGTCCGCACGTGCTCCTGGCCGTCCTGAGAGGAGTCCCCGCTCGCCCCGCTCTTCCTGCGGAGCCGGGCTGAGCCCTCCCTCTGCCTCCACTCAGCCCGTGCGGGAGCACGTGCGGGGCGCCTCGAGGGGAGGAGGCGGCGGCGGCGGCGGCACACGACAGGCGTGACCTCCAGGGGGCGCGCTGCAGGCCGCGTCGGGCCGGCGCCGGAAGGCGATAGGGGGCGGGGCCTGGGTGGGGCGGGGCCGGCGGGGGTGTGCGGGGGCTCGTGTGGCAGGTGCGGCTGCGCGGCCTCCGGAAGCGGGATGGGAGGGGGAAGGCTGCTGGGCGCCGGGACCCCGCCTTCTGGGTGGTGCAGCGGCTTAGCGCCTGCCTTTCGCCCAGGACGCGATCCTGGAGCCCCGGGATCGAGTCCCACGTCGGGCTCCTGGTGCATGGAGCCTGCTTCTCCCTCTGCCTGTGTCTCTGCCTCTCTCTCTCTCTCTCTCTCTCTCATAAATAAATTTTTTTAAAAAATTTTAAAAAAAAGAAATAAGTGAGCCCTCTTGCAAATAAGGAAAAGAGTTTCATTTGAGGTGTTACCTCCTGTAGCCTGACTCACGCAGTGACTTATTGTGAGACTTTCAATCACTTGATCTTTCTGGGCTTGGGTTTTCAAAGCATAGGAGTCTTCTGTGCCTCTTTGAGAATCAGTTTTTTTGTTTGTCTAGTTTTTTTTTGTTTTTGTTTTTGTTTTGAGAATCAGTTTATAGCTGAG